ATCTAATGTCCACATATGAGGGAGAACATACGATTTTTGGTCTTTTGGGCCAGGCTAACCTCACTCAGAATGATGTTCTCCAATTCTATCCATTTACCAGCAAATGATAACATTTCGTTCTTCTTCATGGCTGCATAAAATTCCATTGTGTATAGATACCACATTTTCTTAATCCATTCGTCATATAACTTACTTTGTTAATGTTACTTTCCTGATCTGGTGATTGTACTATGCTTATGTTCTTAGGAATTACAAAGTGATCTGTTTAGGGGTAAAAGGGGATCATACCTGCAGCCTACTCTCAAATGTTTTAGACAAGTTCTGTGTAAATATTTACAGAAAGAAGAGTTGGGGGTGTAGGTCAGTGGTAGAGAATTTGCCTAGCATGTTTGAGGCCCTTGGTTTGATCCCCAGCACTGAGAGAGGGAGAGGAGAAGGAAGGAGAAATTGAAGAGAAGGAATGTTTGCCCCACTTAGAAATACTGTGAAGCTTCATGAGAGAGCACATCCCCCTGGTGTGTGTCCAGTGGCCCATGGACATGTGTGAAGTCCAGGCTCAGTCTGGGAATCTGGCAGGTGTGAGCTTAGCTTGCAGTAGGGTTTCACCCAAGCATTTCCCTAGTGCATGTCATAACTTGTCAATGCCTGCCTTATTTCCCATCCCAAATCTCTGCAAAAGCAGCTTTTCTCCTTTTCCACTGATTCACACTCCCTTTTCAGTCCTTATTCTGACTTATCCCTGAGCAGAGTTTCTATGCACACTGTGCACATGCTGCACTAGCCCTGTGTCCTGTGCAGTGGCACAGAATCCCATAGTCAAAAAGACCTACATTTTAGTCTTGCTGTCTTGAAATGCCTAGTAATCTTTGAACAAGGAGCCCCACATTTTCATAGTGTTCTTGAACCTGAAAATTATGCAACTAGTCCTGAGTGACCAAGATGGAGAAAGACAGATCCTGGCCCTGTGTCAGGCAATATTCTCATGTGCCTCTGGCCCAGCGTGGCTACTCTCTTTAGGTCAGTTCCCTCTCCTCTGCTACCCAGAGTTAGTTAGCTAACTGCTTAGCTTAGTGTGCTAAAATATGGCCTCTGACCCTTGGAAGATTGCCCATATTGCTGTCACCCTGACCTAATCTGTTTGGTTTCTTGAAAATGCAATCACTTCCATTTCTGTGATCCACGCCCCCACCCATCCCCCTCAAGATTTACAGAGTAGCAGCTGTTGCCTCCCTCTGCACTCAGACAGCTGACTCGCCTGCTGATTGTGAATGTCCCAGTAATCCGAGTGCTAATGGTATTTATTCAGTCCAGCCGGCTTAGCCCTGAACAAGGTTTATTCTCATTTATCCCATCGGAGATGAGCTTCATCCTCAATATCCTTCTGTTAACTTGGAGTACACCAGCACCACTGATGTCACTGAGAAGCAGGTCAGGCTTCTTTCTTTTTAACTCATTCAAATCTCCAACACCCGCCTTCTGGCCACCAGGACTGGCCTTCTCCAGGCATGGCCTAAAGCTCTGATCCAAGGCCCATGGCTGGAGAGGAATGGGGCTGGCATATATGTGCTCGAGGCCTCTGTGTTCTCAAGGATATGGTCAGGCCTCTTTGTGTACTAAATCCCCTATAAGTAGTCTTTTGGCCATAACATATTGGCTAGCTTTTTTGGTATTCATTAAACCATTCTTTAGCACAAGCTTGTCTGTACTCTGCCTCACTGGTGAGGAAATACTCAAGGGACTTGCCCAGGGTCATTAGCCATTGTTCATAGGATTCCCTCTGAGGGTTCTCCAGGTCCTGGACTTTGTATATCCTTAGACCTCACTCTGAGCAGTTTTAGACATCTCTAAAGCACACAGATGTAAGCATCAAGGGCCCAAGGGTTATGAGCTGCCTGGTAGAGAGGGCCTATTTCTGGGAGCAGTGTGGTGTCTGCCTAGGGGAGACTGTGCCAAAAGCCCCCAACTCTGCTGTCCTTGCCTGGATGGACTGAGGGCTATCTGGAAACTCAGGCCTGTGTTTTCCACCCTCCCTCTGCTCTTTCCTCAACTGCTGTACTGTGTAGCACTAAAAGCCTATTTTAGATGTTTTATGGAACCCCTGAGGTCATGAGAGTCCTGGGATAGGGCCCAGAGTTAATGTGGGCACCGTATTTAAGCTGAGTAAGTGAAAAGGTCAGGCTGGTGCAGGCCCAGGCTGCCAGTGCTGTGTTCCGCCACAGGCCCAGTTTTAGCCTACGTCTGGTTGTACCCACTCGGTCCCTTTAGCACTCTGCAGCAGGTGAGAAGTGGATTTATTTCTATGTGGGTGGTTTTAGCAATTTATGAGAAGTCCTCAGGCTCTGTCTTTTTCTCTTTGGTTTTCATTCCCTATCTTTGAAATCCATTATCTTCTACTCTAAATGGGCTTCCCTTCTTGGGAAGGCAGGGAGTCTGTGTGAGAGAGGGCAGCCTGAAGTTGGCATGGCTGCGGGTAGCTCCTGGCTCATGCTGGCCTACCTTTACAAGAAGAGCACTTCTCTTTGTTCTGGTTCTGAGCTCTGGTTGCCCTGCCATGATGGATTTTGATTTTCCTTGACAGTACTGGGGTTCGAACTCAAGACCTTGTGCTTGCTAGGTGGAGATGCTACCTCTTGAGCAATGCTGCCAATCCTTTTGTTTTGCATTTATTTATTTATTCATTCATTTATTTGGTGGTACTGGGGTTTGAACTCAGGGCTTCATGTTTGCTAAGGAGGTGCTCTGCCACTCTACCAGCCCTTTTTTGTGTAGAATATTTAAGAGATAAGGTCTCTCGAACTATTTTACCAGGCTGGCTTCCAACTTCCTGAGTGGCTAGGGTTATAGGCATGAACCATCAGCACCTGGCTGCTTTTAGTTATTTTTGAATAGGGTCTTGCTTTTATACCTGCCTCAGCTGGCCTAGACTCTTCCTTGTAATGACTGATGTGCACCACCACACCCAGTCTTTTATTGGTTGAGATGGGATCTTGCTAACTGTTTGCCTGAGCTGGCCTCGAATAGCAATTCTCCCAGTCTCTGCCTCCTAAGTAGCTAAGATTGTAGGTGTGAGCCACTGCACCCAGCCTGCTTGCTGTCTTGGGAGGGCCTTGGCTTCACTGCTCCAAGGGTTTGTGGGGATGGGATCCCTCGGAGGTGCTCTCTGAGGCTGATGTGTTGTCAGACCTCACAGCCCCCTTCTTTGGGAGGCAGCATTTGACATTTGTGTGAATTTCTTAGCATGGTTGTCTTCACTCCTTAGACCCTGCCTGTCATGGGTGAGTGTTCCTCAGGCATATGATGGCAGAGACAGCCCTAATTAGCTCACACATGGATGAAGCAGCTGCCTTTCTCAGGTTGTGGGGAGCAGGGGCAGTGGAGAGGCTCTACTCCAATGCTGTCTGCCTGTCTGAAGAGGAGCTGTCAGCTTCCCATCCCCTGGGACTCTAGCCCTCTACCCCCTTTTGCAGGCTGCTTTTCAGGCACACAGGTGGAATTGTTGTGGGATGGGTCAGTGCTCACTATGCATCCTTTCTGGTAAGAGGATGCCGAGGTCTCAGAAGGATGAAGGAACCTCGGTTTTACAGCAGGAAAACTTGGGTCCCACATGCTAGGTCTGCTTTCAGCCTTGAATCTGGTTCCTGGTAGGAACAGAAGGAAGAGGTCATCTTTGGAAAATACTCAGCCCCTTATCACTCCAGTCAGCCAGCTTTGGGGAACCCCTGCTGCATGCTGGGCCTTTCCTGAGGGCAGGTGTGCTGCACCATCTCTCTTGTTATCTTCCTCCCCACTTTTTCTGAGCTTTGAACCAGGGTCCTACTCCCTTCCATTTTTTCTTTGTTCCCTTATGCCCTGCTGCCCTTGTCCAGGATGTTGGGAGGCTACCTCGTTAGGAAGATTGGGGGTTTCAAGGAACAGGTATTTGGCGGTCTTGTGGTACTGTGAAGGTAAGATAGGCCTGCCCTTTCTATTCTCTGGGGCCTTACCAGTGAGCTGCTGTGGTGGTGGTGGGATGGGAAGCCTTGATCTTGCTTGAGAACCTGACCACACAGGTATTTGTGCCTGGCATATGCTCCCTAATCTTTAATGAGATCTTAGAAAGCAAGGAGTCAGCAAAAGGGTGTCTTTCTGGGATTCCCAGCTGTGTCTTCTTGCCTAACAGCAAGCTCCCTCCTTTCATCCTGGGGAGGGGAACTGGGTCAGAAATTTGTTTCCCTGGCATCACTGTTTCTCCATCTGGAATGGGTGAAGGAGCCCCAGAGGTGATGCTAGGTTTTGAGTGTTTCATGTGGTATTGGCATATTCATGGTTGTGTACATGTGTTTATCCATTCAGTCCCTATTGGGCAGGCTCTATGTACTGAGCATAGAGAACCTGGAGAAGAGCAGGTCAGAAGCTGCTTTCATAGAGCCTAGAATGGAGGTGCTGGATGGTCCTATGGGAGGATCTGCTTTGGCACTCATGCTCCCTGGATCTGGTGTTTCACACCATATTACTCCTACACAGGTGTTTCACCTGTTGTCTGTGCTGACGAAGAAGAGGAAGGGGCCCCAGGCCTTCCTCTAGGAACTGCACACCTAGAGGGGATAGAGCTATTAGTTACTGTTCCCCAGTGGGTGGTATGCCTGGGATCCTGGGAGAAGTACCCAATACTGGCATAGCAGCATGGAGGAAGGAACACCGTAGTAGCACCTCTGAATGCTACATCTTTGTCAGAATGACCTTAAGGTGGTAGAAGTGATTTACCTTCCAGCTCATTCAGCCTACTGGCTGCTGGGGAGCAGCATGCTAGCATGGGACCTTTGGCCCTGTCTTCTGTACTGTAGGCCTGTACCTAGGTCAGCCCACACCTATTCATCTCTGTTTTGCCACCTGAGTTCTTGTTTGTCCAGGGCGGGAACCACCCTTCATGCTCTTGCTTCTCCCTGTGGATGGCTAGTGTGATGCCAGTGGATATCTGGGCCAGGCAGAGTGGTCATGCTTTCTTGTGCTTCTTCTGCTAGCAACCCAAAGGTCCAGGTGGAGGCTATTGAAGGGGGAGCCCTGCAGAAACTATTGGTCATTTTGGCCACAGAGCAGCCTCTCACTGTCAAGAAGAAGGTAAGTTTCTGCCCCTTCTTATTGCCCAACACCCAACACACCTTATGGGGCCTAAAGGGAAAAGTTCCCTTTCCACACATGCTATCCTTGGGGTCCTGATTGTCATTGCTTGGTGGCATGGGGAACAGGTCATGCTCAACTAAAGCAGATGGCAGTGTGTTGAGGTGCCTGGAGGCCTAGGTGCAGCTGCAATGGGTGACTTTTAGCGTTGAGCTTCCCTTTGCCCACCATTTGTTGCTTGATGATGTTGAAGGTACTATCCTAGGTTCTGGGGTTTATATATGGACCCAAGGGTCCTAGGAGGCCAAGAAGAATAGGGTCTGAGCTGGGTTAGTGGTACAACCCCAGCTGCCTTTTCTGGGCCTTAGGGCAGGTCCATCTCTGTGTGGCTGTTTATATGTGCCTAATCTGTGCCTCCCAGGTTCTGTTTGCACTGTGCTCCCTGCTGCGCCACTTCCCCTATGCCCAACAGCAGTTTCTGAAGCTGGGAGGGCTGCAGGTCCTCAGAAGCCTGGTGCAAGAGAAGAGCACAGAGGTGCTGGCTGTGCGTGTAATCACCCTGCTCTATGACCTGATAACTGAGAAGGTAAGTGCCTGGGCCTGCCCTGCCTTCCTCTCACTTTGTATTTGCCACTGGCCATTTGACGCAGGCCCCCACCCATATCTCTTCTTTTCATCTGGATGAATGGATGGATGGATGGATGGACGGACGGATGGACAGAGGAGACTTGCACATCAGGAAGGATTCCTATGAGACATGACACCTCAGCTGAAACTGAGGGCTGGTGAGGAATGGGGGGAGGTGCTGACTACGGACAGGACCAAGTGCAGAAGCAGGGGTCAGCATGACTGAAGGCACAGGGAAGGGGAGTGGTAAGGAACCAGTGGAATTTTGCTGCTGAGCCTGGGAGTCATCGTAGCAGCCAGAGACCAAGAAGCTTTTCTGGGAGGGTGCGGACTCTTAGGATTCTAGTGACCTGGAGATGCTTCCTCTGGGAGCTTTGGCTCTGGTCAAGGGTTCAAAATGGTTGCACTTGAGAGCCCAAGAAATCCCAGGCTTGCTACATGGGAGGAGCCTTGGTGCCCAACCCACTTGGGTCTTTGAAAGCCTGAGAAGAATCTTAATTAAGGTGGAGAGAGGAGACAGGTCTGGATTCTTAATTCAGCTGCTGCAGAGCCTTGGCAGGGTTCTCTCAGTTGCCTGTCTGTTGCTGCATGTTCTGGAGAATAGCCGACTGCTGATTGGTGAACCAGGGCCAGCAGCACTGGACTTGCTGCTGACCTTTGGAGACTGTGACCCCCACCTCCTCCCTGGCCTGCATTCTGCTCTGCTCCCCTGACTCCATCTTCTCTCCAGGCAGAGGGTTGGACTGTGTATCATTCTCTCTGTCAGGCACTGTCTCTCCCCTTTCTCATCTCTCTTTGCCTGTCTTCTCTCCCAGTCTGCTTCTGTCTCTCTCAGCTCAAGCTGCAGAAATCCAGATTCTCAGAACAGCAGGCAGCCATGTGGTGCTCAGAGCCAGTTACTAAGTCCTGAGCACAGTTGACATGGTGAGAGTCCAGCAGGCCCAGAAAAGAACATGTACATTGGCATTTCTTGGGAGAAACTGATGTCTTTCCTCTGGTGTCTGTCTTTGCTGCCCCAGAATGGCCCTGGGCAGCCTCAGCAAAGCTTTCCTGAGCCTTCTGGTCCCAGAAGCCTGTAGGGGTTTTGGGGTAGTGCTGTGGTCGGGGAGGGAGGGCCTGGTGTCTCTCTGCAAAGAGTATGGACACAGCCATTCTCCAGGGAGGAGGTCAGAGGAGAATTCTGGGCAGAGGACTTTAGCTGTCAAAGCTCAAAGCAATCCAGGCCTCTGTTCTTTTGGCTTCTAAGAAAGAACAAACTAGCCAAACTGGGGGTGGGTCCATAGCTGCATGAAGGTGACAGTATCAGCTTGCCTATAGGGGTACCACACACCTCAAGGCATTCAGGTAGTCAGATAGCAGCTGAGTGAAGGAATTCCTTTGGGAAGTATGGACCACCCATTCTGAGGTCGGCCACGCCCAAGGCTTCTCCTCTCTTCATTGGTCATTGCAGACCTCTATCAAGGAATAGAGCCCTGGCATCAGGGCTCCTACAGAGGTGGGTGCCTCCCTGGGTGGTACATGCATGGAGCTGACCCTGCCTGTGGCTTCTCCCACAAATGTTTGCTAGGTATTTTCACCTAGTGCTGAGCCAGGTATTGGGGAAATGGTCCACAGTCCCTGCCCTCCCAGCTTTTGCTAACGTATTCATCAGAGAATCTCCCAGCATGTCACATCAAAAAGCCTGTGGTCTAGGGAGTCAGGTGCAGTGGCACTCTGCTCTGAGGGGTCAGAAGAAGTCACTGGAATCAAAATTGTATAGGAAAGTGTCTGAAAGTGGGGCCTTTGGGGTAGTGTTGGCAGGTGGCAAGGAGAGTGTGAGGAGGACCAAACCAAGCCCAGGCAGGGGCAGAGCCACCAGAGCCTGTAAGTTCCAGGAAAAGGGTTTAGTTTTTATCAGAAATGCAAGTTGTGAAGGGCTTGATGCTAGCAGTGCTGGCTGCCATCCAAGGACAGGAGTGAGACAGAGCAGGAGCAGGAGGAGAGGACTGTAACCATCCAGCAAGGAGTAGGACACACAAAGCAGAAGCAGAGGGGGAGAGCTTGGATGTGTTTGGAATATGGAGCTGGAAGGACTGGTGGGTAGGGTAGAAAAGGACTATAGGGTACCTCTCAGCCTTTTCCGTCTGTGGATGCAGAAACATGCCCTTCCCTGGTTTCCTCTATCAGCCCCCATTAGTCCATAGTCTTGTGCTGCCTCCAGTCTTTGCCTAGCTTGTCCTTCCTTTTTATCTACCCAGGTGTCAGGGCAGGACTTTCAACTTTCTGCTTGCTTCTTGGAGGTACAATTAGTACAGCTATATAGGAAATCTCCATAGCCTCCTCTAACATTTGAAATAAGCTGGATACTCGGCTGGCAGCTTGGCAAAACTGGTTCTTACCATACTCTGCTGATGAAGCTGAGCTTCTGCACTTTACAGAAACAGGCCAAGCCGTGACACCCTGCTTAAACTTCCCCCAACTCCCCTGTCCTAGGGCTCTGTGTTCTGGATCAGACCAGCCTGCCATTCTTAAAACATGACAGGGGCCCAGGCCTAGTGTCATGGTCCTCCTAAGTGGACTGGCCCTCCACTCTTATCCCTTTGGACAACTCCCACCTACCCAAGATTCCAGTCAGTGACATCCTCCCTCATCTATCAGACCCTGACAGTAGCAGTCACTCCCTAAAGTACCTATTGTACCTTGTTACCTATAGTAACAAGGACCAAAATCATGGTGTTTATAGAGCTTACATTTGGGATCACAGTACTTGATATGGAAGCTCACATCTTTTGACTGAGGGCTGGCGGAATGGTTTAAGTAGTAGAGTGCCTGCCTAACAATCATGAGTCCCAAAGTTCAAGCCCCAGTACTGCCAAAAAAAAAAATCCTATTTATGCCTGTGTGCTGGGCACTGGCTGCACACTCATGGTTCCACTGAATGCTCCCAATATTTCCCTTGAGTCTCAGGAGACTGAGTGACAGTGGCAGAGCAGGAATTTGAACTAAGTCTCTCCCCACCCTACTACACTGCATTGTTATATTAAACTCATTGTACTATGTAGGAACTTTTATTCTCCTGCTAGATCCTGGGAGCAGGGCCTGGGTCACCCTCTTGGTTACCTCAGCATCTGGTACAGTGAATAGGTATCTTAATTAATGTACGAATGAGTGAATGGACATACAGATGTATGGATGTATATATGGATGGATGGATGGATGGATAAGGGAGCATGTGTAAAGCCAGGAATCCAGTTGGCCTTTTCTTGGGCGTTCTTTGGAGGCCCAAAGGCATGGAGACAATAGGTAAACTTTATGGCTTGTCTTCATGCCTCTGAAGGGCACAACTGACTGGTGACTGCTCCCTGTGTGTTCTCTTCCCACCACCTCACCCTACCTGGCACGTGGCTGTGTGAATGGCAGATGTTTGCAGAGGAGGAGGCAGAGCTGACCCGAGATTCATCCCCAGAGAAGTTGCAACAGTATCGTCAGGTGCACCTCCTGCCAGGCCTGCGCGAACAGGGCTGGTGTGAGATTACCGCCCACCTTCTGGCACTGCCCGAGCATGATGCCCGTGAGAAGGTACTGCAGACACTGGGTGCCCTCCTGGCCACCTGCCGGGACCACTACCGTCAGGACCCCCACCTCAGCAAGACGCTGGGTAGCCTGCAGACTGAGTACAAAGCACTGGCTACCCTGGAGCTCCAAGAAGGTGAAGATGATGGCTACTTCCGGGAATTGCTGGCATCCATTAACAGCTTGCTAAAAGAGCTGAGATGAGGCTGTCATGCTCACACCAGGACTGGACTGAGATGCTGCAGCTTGGGTGGGCTTTTCAGGGTACATCAGGCAGAAGGGAAGACTTCCCTACTGGGGCATGTTTCTTCTGGGCAGGGCTGGCTTGGCCATTAAATGGAGAAATGAAGGCCATGGTCTGTCTCCTGTGTTTCTGTGCAGACTGGGCTCAGCCCTGTGGCTGGGGACCATACCTGGGAGGCCTGAGGGTCTTTAGGTGGGTCATTGGTGATGAGCCCCTCTTCTGGTGACATGCTGGGTGGTCAGCCCAGGGCACCTAGTAACAGTCCCCATGGGAAGGGGCTGGGGTCAGGAATTGGAAACCTCTGGGGTTCTTTACCAGGCAGTAACTCTGTGATCTTGAAGTCATTTAACCTGTCTGACAAAAGAGAGTGCCATTAGAGACAATGTGCATAAAGCACCAAACCAGTGTCTACCCAAGCTTGATCCTTCCCATCCAGCTATTAGGGGAGGTCTGGGGATCTCACTGCCCCTCTGGTCAACCCCAAGGATAGCTCAAGGCTGTTGGCATTGGTGAAGCCTGAGGGCATGTCACACAGGGCTGCTGTATCAGCCATGCAGCAGGTGGGCCAGGTGGCTTCTGGAGACAGTGGTGCTGGGGCCTGGGAGGTAGAAGGACACTGAGGTGGCTGAATGGACTCTAGACCTTTGTGTTGTGGGCCTCACTCTGGGAGAAAAGTAATCTCACTACAACTAGCAGTGGGATCCCAGGCAAGCCCAAGCCTTCCCACCCACTGATAGGGCAGAGGTGTCCTTGCCTTTCTCCTGTGTCCAGGCAGGAGCTGCCTTCAAGAAAGAGCAGCTGAGCCTGGCAAGTCCAGACTCCCTCCAGAGAGACTGAGTGCCAGGTTGGGAGCCTGCTACAGGTTGCCATGGCAACCACTGCTGTGGGCTTGCTTTCCCAATTTGGATTCTGGTGAGTTCGTTTTTGAGACTTTTCCAATGCTCCAGAGACTCATGCCTGCTGGCTCAGGCAGCCCCTCCTGGCCCTTAGGAGGAGATGTTAAGAAGGCCAGTCTGGGGTGGCCTCTTCTCTCTTCTAGCTTGTAGAAATCTCAGTTTCACTGAGCCTGAGGTAAAACAAGCCCAGAGAAACATGGGGCAAGTGGGTGATCTTGTTCCTTTGTAGTCCCTTTCTCGGCTTCTCTCAAGCCCTTCGCTTGCCCACCTCATGTCATCTTACCCAAGAAGTGTAAACAAAGAGCTGTGGCCTGACAGAGCCCACTTGGAGAGCAAGGAAGAAGCTGGAGTCCCAGGCTGTTGCCTTAGAGTAGAGATTATCGGAGTAGAAAGCCTTGGCAGTTGGGATCAGTCTGCAGTCTGCCAACTGTTAGGCACCACTGTCTTTTGGCCTTTAAAATTTCTTACAGCCTTGGGGGGGTATGTTTTATAGGGGTTCATGGAGTCTAAATGCACTGTCTGAACCCACACGGCTTGATGCAAAACTAAGACGCACTATGGGAGACTCCTGTGTGGCTTGGGGGTGTTTAATTTGATAACAGTGGAAGAAGGCATGGGAACAATGGCAGAACTGGCAGAAGGGCATGGTTTAGAAAGGCCATGACCAAGGTCAAGAGGCATGTAGGAGATAGTGCCAGCAGATTCTGTGGGTAGATGTGAGAAAGGGGCACAGTGGGGATGAGGCTGTCCTGGCATGTGGTGCTGGGAGACAGGCAAGCTTGGGATTGGGGCTGGGGATGAACCTGACCCAGGCCACATCCTTGCAGAGGCGAGCACAGAGGCCAAGGCCATTGAGCAGATGTGGACCTGGAATAGGGCTGGCGACTCTATAGTCTGCTGTGGAGGACATCGTGCCAGGCCCTTGGTGCCAGCAGGATGAAGCTGGAACTGGCCTTGGGTATAAAAAGGGGTCTTCATGAAAGGAGTGCTGCTGGTAGAGGTCCCCAGTGTCCTTTCTGCCCTTAAGTATGCTGCACTAAATAGCGTATCTGTATGGCCACAGGAAACCTTGGCCGTGAGCTCCCAGGGGTCCCTGCGGCTAAGAGAAGAGTCCATGGGGACTGCAGTGAGGGGGCTGGACTAGTGCCAGGCTGCTAATCACAGGTTAGGTGGGGGACTGCCCCACTTCCACACATATCCCCTCAGGGCATTGGGGAGGGTGAAGGTTGGTTTGATTGGCCAGGTTGGTTCATCCTGGGCCTTTGAAGGTGTCAGGGAACAGGGGACCCAGGATTCTGACCTAGGCTGCTTGGGGGTAGGTTCTGGTCCTACCACCTGATTCATTGTTGGTTATTATCTGCAGATCTGTAGGGAACCACTTCTTTGCCTGCCCTTTGGGTGCCATCTTGGTAGCTGTGTCCAAGACATGTTACCTGGGCTTGAAGTTGGTAATGAGGCTACAGCAACAACCTGGGTTATTCAGCTTCTTCATGCCAATGTGAAAGGTGCTTTCCTCTTGCTTCCAACTGTGTCACACCATGGAGCCATAGGGCTCTTGGCCTTATGACTAGGATTTGACTGAGAACTGTGGCTGGCTTACACCCCTGATTGCTGGTGCCCTATTACTAGGCTAAACCAGGCCCTCAGTAGGAGGATGACAGGAATGGGGAGTAGGGAAGTGGCAAAGGTCCCCATCTCATGCCTCAATAAGCTTGGTTTTATTAATTCACTTGTTCATTCATTCTTTCATTCATTGTATCATTATATTGATTAACTAGTAAGTGTTAGGCCTAGGGTTCTGAGGTTAGTGAGTCACAGGCCATCCTGTTGAGGAGCTCACTGTGGTAGGGAAGGCAGGTACAGGGTGACACGGAGCATGATGGAGCTAAGGAGACCCCAACCTAATTGAAGAGCTCAAGAAAGGCCTCCCAGAGCTGCCAACATTCAAGCAGAGACCTTAAGGTTGCTCGAAGGATAGGGCAGGTAAGGTACAGAGGGTTTCAGGCCCATGAAGACACAGGAGAGCCTGGCGGGGAACAGTCCACAGATTGAGTATTGCTGGAGGAAGCAGTGTGGGTGAGGCCAAGCAGCCCAAAATGCAGCCTCATGGGTCAGTGGGGAACATGTCCTGAAGCACCCTGTCAGCCTTTCCACAAAGTGGGGAACAAGGGGAGGGCTCTGGGTACCCTCTGGCTGCTGCTCCTTCATGCATTTACTCACTCCTCTGCACATGTGATGGAGAACTGTTAAGGACGAGGCCCTGTTGTGAGCAAGATGGTAACATAAACAGAACACAGGAGTATGAAGGACAGCACGGTACTGTCAGGGGACAAAGAGTGTTAGGAGCCACAGAGGGACCTGTAAGTGCTCTGTAGGCCAAAGGCCAGGCTGAGGCAGAGGTCCTCCAGCAGGAATATTCAGTGTTTCAAGAAAAGTGGTTCAGCAGAGGAAGAAGAGTGGGCAAGGGAGGCCAGCTCTTTGGCTGCCCAAAGGACTTTTAGGGCAGAGGGGACACCTGTCCACATCAGGATCCCTCTTTTTTTTTTTTTTCACTGAAAAGATTTTACTGGTCTTTTTGGCTAGAAACAGGAATTTATTTGCCAGCAAGGATGATCCCATCGCACTTCTGCTGGATCCAGCACATGGCCTCCTCTTTGCTGCTCCTGTGTTTGGCCCCAGTGCAGCCTGTCCTGTGCTTCTCATCTGCGATGCTGAAACCTGGCCCACCCAGCACCATGTACAAGTCCAGGCCATAGACACCAATGCTTGGGTTATATTTGATGCCCAGATTGATGTGCTCCTGGATCCCAAAACCAAAGTTTCCGGTATCTGAGAAGTTGTTTTTTCTTAATTCATATTCCCGCACCTTTAGACCTTTCTCCAGGATTTCTTCTGCCTTGGCCCCATGGACCGTGCAGTGGACAGCAGCCTTTTCATTTCTCAACAAGATCCCTCTTGACAAGTGGTGTGTGGCTGGTGATGAATCCAGGTAGAGTGGGTGTGGTGGGAAGCAGGGTGGTGACAGAAGAGGTGGGGAGAAAGGCTCAGATGCAAGCCAGGTGGTAGCTGAGGGGCATCCTGATGATGGGGGAGTGAGGAAAGAAGCACTGGAATGAAGCTACACTGGACTCCGTGAATGAGTGTGTTTGTAGAGGGAAGGTATAGAAGGAGGGGAAAGGCAGGGCTTTGGTGGGTATGGTTGGGAGGTATTTAAGTCAAGGTTCATGCATGTGTTCAAATGGGGATGGTAGCTTGGAGCAGAGTCTGGAGCCTTGGGAAGGAGCCTAGGGAGAGGGGGTCCAGAGCTGTGTGCAGAGCGACCAAGCTCCGAAGGAAGCATGGAGAGCTGCTTGGGAAAGAGCCATTGTTATAAATTAAATTATAAACATATGACTAGGTAACAGATTTAAAAGGCAAAAGTAATTAACAAAAACTAGCAGAAGACTAAAGTAAAGAAAGAAGAAGAAAAGGAAATAATGAAGAGTAGAAACCAATAAAATTGAAAACAAAAACTAAAGAAAATCAATGTACCTAAAAGAGGTTCTTTGAAAAAAGAGGGAAGACACAGATCACCAATATTGGAGATGAAAGGTGCTATCACCATAAACTCTGCAAGCACTAAGGGATAATAAATAGATAAACTACAAACAATTCTAAATAAATAAGTTGTAAAATTAGTTTGATAGCTTGAAAGAAAATCATGGACCACTTCCTTGAAAAGCATGGTGTCTCACTATATCAATTTTCTATTTTGTTAACAAATCATCAGGAACTTAGTGCCTTGAAACACCCAAATTTATTTTCTTACAGCTCCATAAATTAGAAGTATGCTACAGTTCTTACTGGGAAAAAGTCAAGATGTCACAGGGCTGGCATAGGGTCTGTTCCCAGGCCTTTTCCGGCTTTGAGAAGAGATTTCTTGGAGCAGAGTGGTCCTCCACCTTCACAGCCAGCAGAAAAGCAAGGCAAGTTCTCCTTGTGTTGGATTACTCTGAACTTTGAATTTAAAAAATTTTTTTGACAGTACTGAGGTTTGAAGTCAGGGCCTTACACTTGCTAGGTAGGTACCCTACCACTTGAGCCATGCTTTTTTTGCTTTAGTTACTCATCCACCCCCTTTCCCAAGGTCTTGCATTTTTGCCCAGGGCAGCCTGGTCCTCAACCCTCCTATTTATGCCTCCCAGGTAGCGGGATGACAGGCACATGCTACCACACCCAGCATATTGGTTGAAATTGGATCTGGCTAACTTTTTGCCCAGGTTGCCTCAGACTGGGAATTTCCTGATCACTGCCTCAAGAGTAGCTAGAACTGCAGGTGTGAGCAACCATGTCCATCCCACTCTGAACTCCTCTCTCTTTCTGTCAACTCATTTATTTATTTATTTTTGTAGTGCCTAGGAAAGTGTGGCAAGTGTAACTCAATTCATCACATCCAGAGACTAAAGAAAAAGAGGCCATATGATCATCTCCATAGATGTAGAAAAATACTTGACAAATCTAGTATCCAAGCATAATAAGAACCATCAGAGATGGGGACAGTGGTGGAGTGCCTCAGTGGTAGAGTGCTTGTTTGTCATGCACAAGGCCCTGGGTTTGATCGCCAACACCACAAAAACCTCTCGGTAAATCAGGAATAGAAGAGAACTTCTGTACCCTCATGAAAGGAAACTCATAAAAACCTGCATGTAACATTAGACCTAATGGTGAAAGGCTGAATTCTTTCCCCCTAAAAGTGAGACCAAGTTAAGGGTGTCTCTTTTAACTCCTTCTCAATATTGCACTAAAGTCCTGGGTGTTGCCTAAAGGCAAAAGAATGAAATAAAAAGCATACAGATTAGAAAAGAAGAAATAAAACTGTTTTCACAGATGACATGATTGCCAATGTAGAAAATCCCACAGAATCTACAAAAAAGCCTTGTAGAAGTAGCAGATGAATTTATCTTGGACAGAGTACAGGTCAATGTACAAAAATCAATTGTATTTCTGTATACTAGCAATGAGCAACTGAAAGTTAAATTTAAAAAACAGTACTATTTATAATGACACTAGAAAATTGACGTGTGTAGGATTTTTGCTGACACACAATAGGATTTTATGTTAAAAACTATAAAATACTGATGAAGGAAATGAAAGGACTAAATAAATGAGAGAGATACTGTGTTTGTGGGTTGGAAGACGCAATACTGTTGGGATATCAGTCCCCACAAAATTGAGTAATAGACTCAGTATAATCCCAGCAGAAATTTTTTGATGTCAAGTGTCTTGTTTGAAAAGTTATATGGAAACACAAAGGAAGTACAATAGGTAAAACAATTTGGGGAAAGAGGGAAAAAGTTGGAGGGCTTACACTAGCTAATTTTAAGACCACAGAACTATAATACTCAAGACAGTGTGGCACTGGCCAAAGGGCAGACACATAGATCACTGAATCTCAAGTAGTGTTCAGAAACAGATTCACACAAACACAGTAGTTCCCTCCTTGTCTGCATGCATACCTTCCAAGACTCCCGTGGAAGCCTAACCCACTGATAAAATCAAACTCTTTATAGCCTATGTTTTTTCCTATACATACACAAGTTGAATGCCTTTTCTGTCTTAACCAAGCACTTATCATGCATTGTGGCTGTTTTAAGGTGTGTGCAGTTTTAAGGTATGATAGAAGAATCACAAAGTTCATTTTCCTTCACAATTTCTCAGAAGTTTCATTTTTATTGTAAAGCTTATCACTCTTAGTATATGGATTTTTTTTTCTTAAGTTAACTTTCACCTTTTCACATAAAAGGGAGCACTTTAAGCTTTTCTAAGGGACACCTGAATTGTCACCATCACTTCTCTTGCACTTGAGACATTATTAAGTAAAATAAGTGTTACTTGAACATAAGTACTACAATATTATGACAGTTGATGTGATAACCAAGATGGCAGCTGATTAACAGACAGGTAGCCTATACAGAGTGGATACACTGGGAAAAGGGATGATGCGCATCCTAGGAAGGATGGAGCTGAACAGTGTGAGATTTTTATCACTCAGAATGGTGTGCAATTTAAAGCTTATGAAATGCTAATTTCTGGAATTTTTCATCCAATAGTTTTGGACCATGGTTTACCAAGTATAACTGAAACTGCAGAAAGCACAATTGGGGTTAGGGGGGTGGCTCAAACGGTAGAGCATCGGAATAGCAAGTGTGAGGGAAAAAAAGCAAGCAAAAATGGGTAAGGAGGACTACTACTTGGTTGATTTGGTATTTGACAAAACAGTTCAGTGGAGAAGGGATTGTCTTTTCAATAAATGGTGTTTGGCAATTGGATGGCTATATTTTTAAAACAAGCCCTGACCTGTATACCTTACACCTGTATAGAATTGAACTCAAAATAAATGATAGACTTAATTATAAAATTTTCATAAGAAAACAGAAGATAAATTCTTGTGACTCAGAGTCAGGCAAAAAGAGTTCTGAGATACAACACAAAACTTTTCCATAAGAAAAAAATACATAAATTGAACTTCATCAAAGTCCAAACTTTTGTTATGTCAAAGAAATTGTTAAGACAATAAAAAGAGGGCTGAGGCATGACTCGAGTGGTAGAGCGCCTATCTAGTAAGTGTGACGCCCTGAGTTCAAAGTCTAGTCCTGCAAAAATAAAAAACGAGTCAACCCAATAAAAAAAAGGCAAGAAAATCTGAAAAGACGTTTCAGCAACAAGATCTGCAGATGACAGACAAGCATGCCATGAGTTCAACATTATTAGTTGTTAGAGAAATGCAAAATAAGTCCACAATTAGACACTACTACACACGTACTGCAGTGGCTGAGAGAGCCCAAAGTCTGAACACCATGCGCTAGGAGTGTGCGGAAGAGTTGGATACTCATCCACTGTGGGGGACTGTCCTATAGAAATAGTTCAGGAGTTCTTACAGTTAAACGCATACTTAACATAGAACACAATATTTGGTTTTGGATTTTTTTGTTTTTGATATAGGGTCTCACTAACTTTGGGCTGGCCTTGAAATGATGAGCCTCCTGTCTCTGCCTCCTGAGTAGATGGAATTACAGGTGTGGACCACCATGCCCAGCGTACAACAAAACAATCTTTATTTGTGAATATTTACTGAAGATCAGCAAAAATCTTTATATAAAGCCTGTACAAATACTTATACCAATTTTACTTGTAAAAAATAATAAATTGGAAATAACTCAAATATCCCTCATCTGGGAGAATGAATGAACAAATTATGTACATCCTTGTGGAATACTCAGCAATAATAAGGAATGAGCAGGGCTGCACACAGGTGCACACTGCTCAAAGGCATTCTGGTGATTGAAATTGTGTCGTGCAGTGTGTAGGCAGACTCAAGGCTACATATGTACCAGGCTTCCATTCATATGACCATCTGAAAAGGCAAACTAAAAGGAAAGGATTTTGCCAGGTCTTAGGTATGAGGCTGTCTTTTGACTCCACTGGGATCCATGGGGTCCGTGGGGGGAGGGGTCATGGAACTTTCTGTACCTTGGTTGTGGGGGGTTACCAGGCTGCGTGTGTCAAGACTCATAGTTACATACCAAAAGGGTGGATTTTACCATGTATAACTTCCAACCTAAATTCTAAAAAGGTAAAAAAACTCAGAAACTCCTTTTCCTGATGACTACATTTTACAGCAATTCGTGCTTTGGGGTTACACATGCCAGCTGTCTTCATGGCTGTACGGCACAGCGGGCCTGGTACCCTGTGCTGCTCCATGTTCACGACTTGGAATCTGATGAGGCAGCAATATTTATACCAGGGAAATTGGGACAAGTTACAGATCAAGGCTTTACTTACTGTGTTGTTGACTGTGTAGACTTAAGAAGGTGGTGAAGAAAATGTTATTAATGCTAGTTAAACTTAAAAGCATGTTGCTCCTAGCAACAGTGCTGTGGAGCACAAAGCCCAGAGGGAATTTAGTATTCATCAGCTACTCCCTGATCCAGCACAGAAGTCGCTCACAGACCGACAGACACAACTCTATTCTTGTTTCTTTTTATCACACTCCTTAAGGTAAACAGTATCCAGCACCATTCGTGTCAGAACTAAAGTCATTGTCGTGGCCCCTGGGCTAGCCGTGGATATGAGAGTGCAACTGAAAGGCCTGTTGGTTAAGTGGAGTACAGTAAGAAGTGCTTCATATTTTAACATCAGTTGTAAATCGTGTGCTGTTGTTCCTTTATAGCAATAAAAATATGATGGACTGTATGTGTGTAGCTATGCGTCCTCTCCTGGCCCCGTCCTCAAAAGCCAGTTATTAAACATTTACCAGCAGCTTCCTCTTGGTAGCAGACATGGCTGGACAGATAGGGAAAAGGACCCAGGTCTGAGCCCTGGACCATGTCGGCACCAGAGGTCGTAGAGATGATGAGCTGGGGAAGGAGGAGCAGGGACCCATGAAGGATGTGGGACCCTGGAAACCTGGAGAAGGTACACCAGGGAGCTCAGGAGTGGCCACTGGCACCATGCCACTAAGGGCCCTTGGGAGTTCCAGAAGGGATGGTCAGAACCTGGAGGTGTTAGGGGGACTGGGCCACTTGCTGCTAGGTGAGGGGCTTCAAACAAGCAAAGTCACTGCTTCAGCTGGAAGGTCCTGGGGGTGGTGATAGCATTGCTACCTCATAGGCTGAGCGCAGTGAGGCAGCAGTAAAGGCAGGACATGGGTTTGGGGTTCCCAGCACATGACAGCTCTATCTCCCTTCCTGGGGAGGTGGCTTGGCCTGGATATGGGGTTGGGGCAGGAAGCCTCAAGTATCAGGGCTGCAGAAGTGGGCTGGGGTCTTTTAAGTGTCTGCCCAAGGCATGGGAGCTGCTGCAGGGTGATCAGCAAGGTGGAGCCAGCCTGGGGACTGAGGGCTTTGCAGTCCCTGTAGGTGGTGGGGAGAACAGGTCTGAGGGGCATTAAGAACAGTGTGACAGGTTGTGGAGGGAGCTGGAATTATTAGCTTCTATTTTTTTTTTTTTGCTCCCCAAGGACTCCCCTGAGAAGTGGTCATCAGGCTGCTCAGAGCAGGGGCATGTCTGTCCTGGCTCAAGAAAGTAGCAGGATGCAGGAGTGAGGCAGCCTCTATAGGGAATGCAAAGGGGCAGAAGTCAGCACCTCTAGGACCAGGGCCAGACCATGGTGCGTCCTGTCTCCCTCATGCTCTTCCCTGGCTGCACTGAGATAAATCAAGGTCTGTGGAGAAGTTTCAGAATTTCTGGGTAGGGGGACCTCCTCAGTTGCCAGCTTTTTGTCTTCCAAGAACTTGATAGTTTCAATCAATAAAGTGTCTGTGTCACTTGACTACTTGTCAAGCATGCACTGGGCTTTGATTGGACATAGTAGTGAACAGTGCCAATGCCCACCAGGCGGGGAAAGAGCCATTGGTCCAGGGAGCAAGACAGGCCTTTCTGCTGCACTCTCGAATCCATGGCCAGCCTAGGGCTAGTGTTTCCCTTTGCAGCACGAGGTGTGACTCTAGGTGGTCCACGAATGAGTATGTGTTAGGAAAATGTCATCAGCACACAAAACATACTAGGTACTACTTAGGAGGAAACTATCTTAAACTTTTTAAGCCCTTATTTAAATTGGGTGTGATGGGGCACATCTGTAGTCCTAGCACCTGGCAGGCTGAGGTGGTAGGTGGGATTGCTTGAGGAGTTTGAGGTCAGCCTGGGCTATGTAATAACAAGTGGTCTTTAAAAAAAAGACTAAATCATGGCATTAAGACGAAGGTCAGGAATGAGGACACTCAAAGGCAGTGTCTTGAGGCATGCGAATGATGGGCGTTGGGAAGATGGGCACACCCTGGACATGTCTCTAGAGGGCAGTATGGGTGTGGTGGGGGCCTAGTTGCTGGACACGGACATGGGGTGTGGCAAGTGGGCAAACCTAATGCTGAGGTTAGATGTGTGTGGCTGCAGGAGCTGAGGTGAGAGGATCAATTAGGAGACTTTGCAGGGTTGCAGGTAAGAGGTAAGGCCTTGACCTCTACTGGAGGGAAGTGACTGAGAAAGCAGGGAAGTAAGACTGGAAGGGAACTGGAAGCTTGCTGGGGTGCAGGACAGCGGACACCAGGTTAAACAGCTGGGGACTAGATCTGGAGCTCAGGTCTGGGCAACAGTTTTAAGATTGTGACAAACTGATGGCAATAAAAGTCATCAGTTTTCTACCTGGAGGGGCCAGGTAAAGAGAGGAAGCCAGGGAAGGCAGCTGAAGAGCACTCAGCAACTATTTCTCTAGAGCCTTCCATGTGCGGCAAGTGTCCTAGGACATTGGCTATTCAGCAGTAAACCAAATTTTAGATCACTGCCCAGGTGGCATGTGCGATAGAAACAAACAGATGGATATCTAACGTGTTCAGTGCTGTGATGAGAGGGAAGGTAAGGATTTGTCAATCTGAGACAACTGAAGGAAATGCTAAGGAGAGCACAGGGACACTGGGGAAGTGCATTCCAGCAGAGCACCTGCATGCAGCCACACAAGCAAGCTGTGCTTGCCATGTTCAAGGGATGTCAGGGTGCCCAGCAGAATGGTGAGAAAAGGCCAGAAGGGGTAAGAGACTACAGCTGTTACTAAGGACTGTGGTTTTTACTGAGGGGCGTGGAAGGCACTAGAAGGTTCATACTGAGGGAAGGACACCAACTGTAAAACCTTGTTTTACAAGGTTCACTCTTGGCTGTTGTGAGAAGAACTGCTGCTGACTGGCAGCCACCTCCACGAGCTCACCAGCATGGGTCCCTGGCACCAACAGTACAGCAGAAGTAATGGCAAATCACTTTTCATTGTGGCTCTCATCTGGCTGCTGCTGTTTTGGATCATTTCTCCAAAGGAAACCAGTTACCATGTTGTGAGCTGCTCAGTGGAAGGACCCACAATGCAAGAACTAAAGTCACCTGCCAGAAGAACTGTAAGCTTGGAAGCAGATCCAGCCCCGTCAAGCCATCAACACCACAACTCACCAAAAGCCCGAATCAGAAATACCCAGCTAAGCTGCCCTACATAAAACTGTGAGGTAAGTAGGGGACCAGTGGCTCACGCCTATAATCCTAGCTACTTGAGAGGGTGAGATTGAGAGGACTGCAGTTCGAGAACAACCTGGGCAAAAAATGTTCACAAGACACCATCTCAAGCAATAGCTGGATACAGTGGCACACACCTATCATGGCAGGAAGCTTAAAATAATAGGCAATAGGAGTCCAGGCTGTCCTATGCAAAAGTGAGACTGTTTCTAAATTACCCAGCACAAAAAGTACTGGAGGCATGGCTCATGTGGTAGAGAAGCCTTGCCTAACAAGTATGAAGTCTTCAGTTTGAACTACTGAAAAACTGAAGTAGGAAATGTTTGTTATTTAAGCTGCTGAGTTTGTGGGCAATTTGCTAGTTAGAGACAACTAATTCCATAGTGGCTTTAGGCCAGTTAATGGTAAATGGAGGTGGTGGCAGGTGGTGAGACCTTGTATAAGTTTTAAAGATAGAGCTTTTATTTCTTGGTATTTGGCCAGAAAAATGAGGCAACTGGTAGTGTCAACCACTGAGGTAGGGAAAACAGCAGGGAGAAGGACTTTGGGTATGAATGGTAGAGAACAGAGACGGCAAGAGCACTTTAGACAGGCCCAGCACCCACGTGGAGAGAGAGTAAGGAGACAGGGACAAGCCAGCACTTGGACCAGGAGATCATTTGCAATCAGAAGACTAAGCACAGAGAAGATCCAGGTACTCACATGTCAGCACACCAACATACAGGAAAGGAAGGCAGAACACCAGAGCAAGGCACATTCAGGAAAGAGTGTTTGGCAGTACGGAAGGCTGGACAAGGAGTGGGCAAGATGAGTGCTGACTGGAAAGGCAGAGAGAAGTCAGGAAAGTGACAATGACTATGGCTTTGCCTGAGATGGGGATGTTTGTTGGCTAAGGAGGGTTTTTATTTCTAAGGCAACCATTTTGTCATGGCTGAGTGCTGATAGGAAAGATGCAGATCAAAAAGCCAGGAATGTCCCCAAGATTTACACTTGAACCTTGAGAATGAGCTGGTGGAGTGGCTCAAGTGGTAGAGTGCCCTGAGAATGGACATGTGAATTTTCAAGGTGAAGGTGGAGGTCAGGGCATTCGACAGGTCATGGCTCTGTATGCATAGTCTCTCTTAGTGAACAACTGTCGTAGGAGAAGAGGACACTGAGGAGAGCCCAAGAGCAAGGCAGACACTGTGGCAAGTCCAGACCTTTTTTTTCCCTCACAATTGAGGATTGAACCCAGGGCCTTAGGCATACACACTACCTCAGCCCTTTTGTGCATTTTGAGACAATGTCTCGTCTCATCTGGGCTGTTGTCAAACTTGCAGTCCTCCTGTCTGTCTCCCGAGTAGCTGGGATTGCCTGCATCACCAAGCCTGGCTATGGTGACTCTTTCAAAAGCAAAGAAAACGACTTTGGCCTCTTAGACTTGGTTTCATAGTGGACTTTATTGGGAAAAGTTAGTTAGTGTAAAAAACATTGAAATTCATCAAATTTAAATAACTAACAGTAAAATTATACCTATCAACTCTAGTAATTGCAATAGTAATCACAAATAATGTAAAGTCTAAATTATTGCCTAAGCAAACACTATTCTGGCAGGCTTCTGTTGGGAGCCCAAGGCAGGAAACACTGCAATTATTAGAAGTGAGCCAATGATGAATTTGCATTTAGAGCTGGAAGGGAAAAAAGCATCTTCTGATCACAACATTCTAGCCCCAAAAAAGCAACTTTATTAATGTCCTGCAGCAGAGTACATTAGTAATTGTAGCCATGCATTATGATCCCCATTTCATTTCACAAAGGGAGAAATCAGTTTTCTTCATGATACATTGCTTTATGGTTTCATATGGTCTCTGTCCTCAGAAGAGCTTTCTGGTACATTCCTTCTCAGAGACTGCTTCCTAAGATGCCCATGCTACTCACTCTCTCCACAAGCCAGGTACAGGAAGGGAGCTCTCTCCTCAAACTCTCATCCCCACTAGAGAACCTAACCTACTCAAGAGTGTCACAGTTAATGTGGGATTCTCTTTGGTTACAGAATTTTTATTTCAGCTTATAAAAATATAGCTAGAAAAGCTTCTGATTTCTGTAAGTATTTTTTGATAATTTTGATGGCCTTGAAAAATTCATCACGTGGCTGGGTTCAAAATCTATTTTGCTGTTTTCTACTTAACAAATACATTTGAGTGAAGAGCGGTGATGGAGCCCTGGGTGGGGGTGTGGCAGCAGGCTTAGATGCTGTCCATGGCTTTGAACTCGCTAAGGGCTTGCACAGGGTTCACGTGCTTCTTCTGAGACGCTCGCTTAATCTTGGTCTGCGTCTCGTCCTGCTTCTCCCTCTTCACCAAGGGCTTCTTCTCAGGTGCCTTCATCTTCCACGACACAGCAGGGAGGTTGAGGGAAGCCATGCCCTGAGACTTCTGGTATTTGGTGGAGGCCACGTAGGAGGCCTTCACTGTCTGCACCACAGCGTTCATCAAGTTCTTGGCTGCCTGGATCAGAGACATGGCGCTGTCCACCTATGGGGCACAGACAGGGGTGGGGCCTGTGAGGATCCTGGAGGAAATACCCCTGCCCCCGGCGCATGAGTACTGGGCAGAATCCCGTTTCTGACTAGTGTTCTCAAGGGCTGCTCTTACACGTAAGGTACCTGTTGTTCCATCCCCCACCATTCACAAAACAAACTGGAAGTCAGGCACCAGTGGTTCACGCCTATGATCCTAGCTACTCAGGAGGCAGAGATCCCAAGGATCGAGGTTCAGTGGCTCAAGTGGTAGAGCACCTGCCCAGCAAGCGTGAAGCCTTGAGTTCAAACCCCAGTACTGCCAAAAACCAAAACCACAAACTGGAAGATCTTACTGCCACTGTAAGTGATTACAGAGCTGTAATCATCACCACAGTCACGGAGGAGGGATGGAGTCAAGCCATCCTTGTCTGACAGAGGCCCCCCGACACTACTGTTTTTCACACAGGACTCGAGTCGTCCCCTCATTTAGAGAATATGGAGTTCAGGTAGGGGCAGCTATGATGTAGCAAATGGGATCAATGTGTTCAACAGAAAGTATTTCAAGGACATTCCGTGGAATGAACAGAAACTGTGGGACTCAGTGGAGCCCAGCATACTCAGAAAAATGTCCTTTTCACCCCGGCCCAAGGTGAGAAAGACCCAGAACTGTGATATGATCAAGAGACAAAGCAACAGATTCAACTCGGGCACTATGAGAGTAGAAGTGTTTTGAGAATGCAGCCTATATATATTTACTTTGCAGTTTTTCAACAGGCTTCAGTTCTCTCTGGGGGAATATAAAAATATTATTCCCAAGTGAGTGACTAGCAAAAGGAAGAGGCCAACCCTGGTAGTGACTTCAGCTGTCACCAACCACAGCCATGCTAAAAAAAGAGCTGCACTTCAGCAGGGAGAGTTGATGTGCAGTCTGTAATCTCCAGGGACTGAGATGGATGCTAGAGTTTCTGCCCAGCACACTTTCCCAATTTGGGGCAGTTGAGGAGCATATGTGGACAAGAGGCCACTTTCATTTCAGACACAAGTCAGCACATTCTCATTGACCACCTTATCTCTCTGCTAATACTTACCCCGGAAACAACAAGCTCTCCTCCAAGGTTCTGTACCTCAGCCTTGACTTTGCTGCAGATGTTAAGCTGGTGGCAGTAAAGGGCGATACGCTGCAGGTAGGCCAGCAGGTCCTGTTTGCAGGCCGAGTCTGGGCACTGATGGGAGAACAAGCTTAGCACCAGGCACTCCAGGCCAGGCGCAGACACCCTCCTTCCCTTTCCCCAGGCTATTTCTGAAAGGCTCAGAGTAGCACCAACAAGCTGTCTTTTCTTGGAGCAAAGGACAAGAGAGATACGTTACCCAATTACCTGGGGCCATCATTTTCCCCTAGGCCACTCTGCTTGGAGATGGCAGCAAGTCCCTCATGGAGACCTGACTGTGCAGTGAATAGTTTCTGAGCTCTCCTCTCACTAACTGCACAACTGAGGGGAAACCACCAATGCTGAGTTCCAACCCAGACCTTTCAGTGGCTCTACAAGGTAAGAAAAAAGCCTCAGCAAGCATGAGCCTAACCTGGTTATGCAGAAAATCAGAATGTTTTGAGCTATGTAAACTAACTATCCAAACAAATAGCTATTCCATCCCCAGGCACTTTATCTGCTTAGTTATGATTCACACGATAAAAACACATGATGACAGGTGTTTACCCTTTCATCATCTACTTTAGCCAAAGATGGAGGGTGAGTAAGTAAACCAAAGCAAGAAAAAGACCACATGGATATGATGAGGTCTTAACCAATCACATGGAAAAAGACAGCCCCCGCCCAATCCCGTCTTGCTGCTGAAGCTTCACCCGGAGAAGGACTGGAGAAAGAGAAAGTAGGAAACCAGAAGATGCCTTGGTGGTCCAGGCAGGTGGGTACAAACTTGGACTGAGCTATTGAACTCAGACAGGAAAGACGAGGTGGTGTCAAAAATACATTTGGTCACAGCATTTCTTAGTGGGCTGCATGGAAGGAGGTGATCAAGGAGCTGGCAGCATGGCTCAAGTGGTAGAACACCTGCTTGGCAAGCACAAGAGCCTGAATTCAACCCCACCAGGAGAAAAAAAAAAAAGAGAGAGAGGAGAGTCAAGAATGACTACAGAACCTCTCAAGTTATGAAGAACCAGCTGTCACTCATCCTATGGCCTAGTTGAGGTCCAAAAATGTGGACAGAGAAAAACTGTAACTGAGGAAGAGCTTCTCTAAGAAACTAATGGAGTAACACAGATAATGAGGTGGAAAGCAGAGTTTTCTGACCCATCAGTATGAGGGAATAAAGGGATGAAGGTTTGCTGAGTACATAGAAGCCTGTCTCCAACTGGGCACAATACTAGTCTTCTAAAACACTGACCAACTGATTCTTAGGCAAACTAAACCTTGAGAAAGAGGTACAGATACGTCTGGTTCTGGTGGTAGGGTTGGCAGAAGCAACTGCTGCCCAGAGCTGAGGTTCTGAAGGGAGTGAGAACACTGAGAAGAAGTTCAAAACAGGAAGAGGTTGGTTTTAGCCATTAAGTGATGATGGAAGATTCAAGGACAGATACAACTGCTCCAGAGATAAGCTCTAATGCAAACAAAGCAGGCCTAGCTCCTAAGATTTGTCAAAGAAGTAACATAAATTCAGAAATCCTTAGAAATTTATGCTAGGATTAATCAAGCAGGTTAAAACTTTTTAGAGATGCGTGATCAAAGAGCTGTGGTCCATAAAAACCATCATTAACAGCCACCTCAGTAATGGGCCAGGCTAGGTTGAGACTGCCAGGTAGGCCTGTCACTCACATGATCTGCAATGGTTCGTCCAAGCTTATCCATCCTTGATCCTGCCTCGGCAATTTTCTTGGCAGCACTGATCACATCTGATGTATTTTTGAGCGGTCCTTTACCTCTAAAAAGAGAACAAGAAACCTGTCCATGATACCTTTCTTACTGGAAATGAGCAAAGAACAGATATATACAAATCAGCACGGCCTGTAGGGATGGGAGCTGCCCTCTCTCTGCATAAGCAAGGTGCTGGCTCACCGGGTGAAGTCGGTCATCTCCATCATAATCATGCACATCTGCTTGGCCAGCACAATGATGTCGTTGCCACTGTCATCCCATTTGGACACTTCAGCATCCAGCTTGCTCTTTTCTTCCTGGAAGCTGGCCACCTGTTCTGCAATCTTTGCTTTTTGTTCCTGGGGAAGCTGAGCCATGATCGCCTACAATCAGAAGCACAGAATCCTCTTACATGAAGAGAATATGAAGTTCTCACAGTGCATTTCCCAAGAATATTACCAACAGGCAATCTAAGATACAGGTAGGATAATGCTTTAGTAACAGGTTTCACTTTGCCTAAAGGGCTATTTCTTCTCAAATTTCACAGAAGGCTACTGCAGCCTGAATTCCCAACCCACTTTCGAGAACAAATTTGAATGAGGAGGTAAACCATGTAAGGGGTAGAAAGGCTAATGTGGAAACTTTGCAATCCCATTTGTGTAGGGATAGACCTGGTTGGCTTAATTCTTCAAAAGTTTCATCCTTTGCCTTCTGCCTAGAGACATGAAAGGAGAGGAAGGGATAATGAATGTGTACAGCCCTCTCCCCTGTGGGCCTTGAAGAGACATTTCTGAGTTTCAGGAGCACTGGAAGTGGTTTTAGAATCTAAATTTTGAACAGGAAGTCAGAAAAGAATTTACTAGGGAACACATAATTTAGTTACTTGATGGTGTACTTAAACCACACTAAAGCAGCACTTAGGGGTCTGCTGCCCAATTCAAGCTCACAGGCCTAGGGCTGGGGGGTCTACCCTCTCAGCTCCGAGAAATGCTTATGACCAAGCAGGGATGTGCTCACTCTGTAAGATGGATTTCCGAGGAGTGAAAAAATAGACTCCTTAGAAATATATCTTGGCATCCTTCCAAAAACATAAATGCTATTGATTAAGATTTAATGACTACTGAATGCAATGACTCTGACTGGTTTTCTTGAATGTACCGTTGTTATTTCTTTTAAACCATGAACAAGTAAGTAGCTCATACCCGTGATACCATTAAGATGGCAAAGGCAGCAATCTTTTTCACATTTCACAATTCTTTTAACAAATGTTACACTGACAAGATCCTAGGCTTTTTCTGACCTAGGGTTCCGTCATAAACCAGAGCCTCATGGCACAGCTGAGGAGGCCCATGCACAGCTGAGCCTGTTCCATGCTGAGGAGACATTTTGGAGGAATCTACAATTGACTGCAGGTGCCATGATTTAAGTTCATTTCAGTCTGACTGCCAGAGAAAGAGACAAGAAAAATGACACTTTGATTCCTGAGAATTTTTCTGGGAGAGAAGGCAGCAAGGCTTGATAGGTAAGATCTGTAGAACAAGTGAGCACTTTCTTACCCGGGCACTTTGGCCAGCTATCAGTTGGTCATCTTCTGTTTGGACGCTTGTCCTACTTCGGACATCAAAATCTTCTGTCTCGAAGTCAGAGTCATCCAATTCCTCTGGAGTCTGCCACCAAGACAAGAAACCATGGATCAGACATAGCTCTGTGCCTCTAGACACCTTCCCTTTGCCTCTTGCCAGAAGCATGGAGACCTAGAACTCTGAGATTTGTGTGTAGGCCCCACAATAGCACTTTTCAAAGAATGCTGCTTTTACAGGGTGTAGGGTAAGCCTCAGTTTGCCCACTGAATCAAAAATTCTCTGTAAGACAAAAGGCTTTCATTTTTCAATGTACCTACCCAACACCTGCCTCTGAAGGTAAAGGTGAGAACCACTCTTGGTAGTGGTGTTTTATATAGCACTGAACAGTCCTACTTTATGACCAAAAGAAATTATATAAATGAATACTGGGCTTTCTCTTAGGGTAAAGAAGGCTAAGGAGTAAAAATAGGCAATGAATTCTAAAGAACTTTTTTTTAATGTTTATCAAAGGAAAAGAGAATATGGTAGGTTAGGGATCAGTAAATATCAGAGGGACTTACTGGTTCTTGGTCTTTTTTTTTTGGTGGTACTGGGGTTTGAAATCAGGGTTTCACTGCCTCCTGATACCTGGGATTATAGGCGGGAGCCACTGGCACCTGGCCATACCATAGGTCTTTGCTTTAATCATGAAATAAAATTGTTTTACACAAACTCTTTCCCCGCCTCCCCCAGGACTGGGGCTTGAACTCAGGGCCTCGTGCATGCTGGGCAGGTCTCTACTACTTGAGCCACTCCACAAGCCGTTTTGTGATGGTTATTTGCAAGACAGGTCTCATGAACTATTTGCCTAGGCCAACTTTGAACTGTGATCCTCTCCTTATCTTTACCTCTAAAATAGCTAGGATTACAGACATGAGCCACTGGCACAGGGCTCCAGCCCATCTTGATTACCTAATGACTTCAAACACAATGTCATCTTCTGGCAGTTACCAGTAAGGGAGCAGCACGTAGAAGAGCTGGGGTTGGCTCTCAGCCCAGCCTGTGACAGGAGGGCAGTGAGGTAAGGACCTCATCTGTATCAGATTCTAGGCCAAGCCGAGCCCAAGAGCTTGTTGTGAAGTTCAAATGACAGGACATGTGAGTGGCTCTCAGACATTGCCAAGAGAAGAGAGTCTCCTGACATGTGCAAAGGCTGGGCCTGTTCCTAGATGAGATGAAATGAAAACGGGGGTGAGGGGAGCGGGGCAGGTCACATAAGGTACCAAAGACAGCATGTCAATGTAAGACCCTGGAGTACTGCTGACAGATGGCCTAACACATGATGCTACTGCTATGATTTTAACACTGTGGTCACTGCTAACTTTAGTGTTGATGCACCGAGTCTAAGAAGCGCCTCTCCATAGCCCACCATGAACCCAAGAACTGTTCCTACCAAGAAAAGCAAATGAATTCCTTTCACTCATTCATTTACTCAAGTATTTGCTGAATTGTGCTAATAAGCACTGTTGTGGGCCCCTAAAATGCAAAATGACTAATGCAGAGATTGCCACTCTCACAGATATTATAGTGGAAGCAATGGCAACAATTTAGAAAGTGATCAGTGCTATAAATAAACACAAAAGGGACTGGGTGGTAGGGAAAGGCCTCATAACGCAGGGTGGTGACAACATGGAAGAAAATGGGAGAGGAGTATCTGCCTGGTAACTGGATGAGCAGCAAGGAAGCTGCAGAAAAGGAACTTCAGCTGGCCCTGAGGATCAAGGGGAAAGCAGCAGGAGATGAAGAGGCAGGAGTATCAGGTCTTAGAAAGCCTCATAGGCCAGCATAAGGACTGAGTGATGTGAGCAGTGTTCTGATTGAAACTAGCTACTCTGTGATGATGAAACTGCAGGCACCTAGGGATGGAATACTGAGGCAGGGGAGAGGCACCTGCATGAGCCCAGGTAAGAGATGCTAGGTGTGTGGGCCAGGGTGGAATGTGTTCAGATTATCAGGAAGGCAAAGAGCAAAACCAGCTGATTAATCAGGTGTGAGGTATACAACCGAAAGAGAAACCAAGAGGAATCCATGAGCAAGGAAAGAGGAGTTACTATCAACTAATACATGAATGAAGACTGTGTGGAGAGATCAGGAGCTCACTCATACACATAGTAAGTGCAAAGGGAGTTAACAAATTAGCCATACAGGTATGGAACTTAGCAATGTCAGCCTTTAGAGAGATTCTTAGTTTTTTACACACCAAGGGAAGGAGTTTAGGTAGAAAAGAGAAGTGGCCAAGAATGTCCCAACAGGCCACATCATTGTTAATGAGATGAAGAAAAACCAGCAAAGGAGATGGAGAAAGAAGGGGACTGAGAAGTTTCTTTTTCCCCTAAAGATATGAGAAATGACCATATACATTGGGAAAGGACAGGAGGCAAGGGGGTAAAGATGGGACCTGGTTCCTAGTGCAGGGGACAGGCTCAGGCAAGAGCACTGAGAGGGGCATGGGTGCACATGCAGTGGGGAACAGACATTCTAACCAACTCAAATCTGTAGTACAACTGGAAAGAAGGCCAGACATTGTGGGGGTGGGGGGGTGGGGTGTGTGTGTGTGTGTGTTCTGTGTTTTTATTTTTTGGGGGGTAGGAGTATGTGGCTCTGCCACTGAGCCACATACCCAGCTAGGATGATTCTTGAATTAAGGTAGTAACAGGATCAGAAAACAGAACAGGCAGTAAGTAGCTAAAACCACAGGTGTCTCTGAAGCCTCTCTCTAAAAGGTCCATTCCCTTTGGTTCAATTACTTTACACTTGCCTGGCTATCCAGAAGGTTACATTAACATGGCATTCTTCAGCTGCAGCATAGCACCAAACATGGTAAGAAACAGTCATTATGTGCCAGACTATACTGAATTCATTTACCTATATTTCATCTAGTAAAATCATCAAAGCCACCATTTCTACATTTTTAAGAGAAGAAAACTGCATCTCAGAGAGCTGAGGGAACTTGCTGGAAGAGGAACCAAAGCTGCCTGCCTGCAGTTTTCCACAGGCCCAGTTGCCTCCCCAGGACGAGACTCTGGACCTGTACTGAACTGTGTCAGCTGTTTTGACCTCAGCAGCTCTCACCTGACATCCAGCCCCATATCTGTATCCTTAGGACTTCTATTTCCACGTGGCTGCCAGCAAGGAAAGAACTTTGGAAAGACAGAGCTGTGTGCATCATGGCTAGTATATGTGACCTGGAAACCCATTCACACCATCAAGATATAGCCACTGGTTTCCATGTGTTCACTCAGAACTCTACTGCACATAGGTTCTTCTCTGGCATAGCAGCAGGAAAAAAAGAACACAAAAGTATCTACCACCTTGTTGCCCCAACATATCCTGGTGAGCCTGGGGCCTGCAGGAACTGCCAACACTCAACCTAGAGCAGTTCTCTCCAACTTCACCCAGGAGATCAGTTTTACTTAGGAGATCAGTCTTGTCTTGCCTAAGTGTTTCCACACTGCACACAAAACAGATGCAAATGCCATAGAAATGACCTGTTTCCAGACCACATTCTGGCTAGCTTCTGTAGGCCAGCCTAAGAGAGCAAAAAATGGGACAGAATCCATGCCTACCTTGGAAGGCATGGCACAGAACCATCAATGTAGCAAGCAGATACTGTATTCCATGTGCTTGCTCTTTAGCTACAGCAGGGCCTAGAACAGACCTAACATGTGTTCAGGTATCCATGGAAGAATATTCAAGGGCCCTGCTCTAAGATTCCAAGCAACACACTTTTGATCCTCTGATTAACTATTATGGGAAAGGCAGCTGGTAGACCCCAGCACCCTGGAAATATATTATAGAGGAGCTGCTAGTTTCTGAAAGCCCTTCGTTCATGCCAACCCGGAAGGGTTGAGGACTTTTTCACAGGCAGTGAGAACTGCTTTCTTAGAGATGAGTAAAATGAGGCTCTTGGAAAGGAGCTCAACACTTGGCCATGAGCCAGGGAGCATCACCAGGGACTGCCCTACTCCTAATCCTCACCCCAAACACACTGTGATTTCTACATCCTGCCTGAGAGTCTAGCACCTCCATTTGAGGAGTGCTCTTTGTGAACAGTAACTTCCCTCTGCCTTAAGGAAAGAGACCCTTCTCTGAAATTAACTTAATTCAAACTGATGCCTACACTACTGTGACTGTCCTAAATTAACGTGTCATGGCCAACTCATGCTAGCTCTACTTGGTCCAAGTTTGGGCTCTCACTTGCAACTAACAATCATTTTAAACAACATAATTAAATATATCTCATTTTAACAGCTTTTAGATTCAGTTTTAATATACTGCCAATGCATCTGCTGAGTTTCAGAATGACACAATGCTCAAGTTTAATAAGTGATAAGAAAGAAGCTGTTAAAATGTCTAGAATGTGGTTATTCACCCTTATCATCAGCACCGCTTTCCTGATGTCACGGATGCCATCATACACCAGGCGGGAGGCATCAATAAACTCGTTCTCATCCATGGGCTGGGCGGGATCTGAGCTGAGAGCTTCCACAGCCGCTTCTACTTGCTCGGTGAAACGTGGCATGACTATGTAAACAAGAGGCAGACAGTACACACTGATGAGAAGACAATATCCCACTAGCCCTCCGTGAATCCTCAGACAGGTGTGAGGCTCGTGATGAAGAGCCTCTACTTCTACTCAAGTAAGTGGTGTTCACGGGTGCAGTAAATTACAGTGCTGACAGATGAAATAAATTAAGGGCAGTGTTTTGCAAAGATTCACACCATCTTAACTTCTCACTCTGGTTGCCACAGGGTTTGGATGGTTGAGAACCTGAAATGAGACTACCTCGAGGCCTTCCTTAAGAGCTGGGGACGTAGCAGTGGTAGAATGCTTAGCTAGCATGCAAGAGGTCCAAGGCTCAATGCCTAGGGAGAAAGAGGGGGAAATGGAGAAGAGAGACAAACCTTAATTTAGTATTTATTCCTAACAGATTTAACTTAGAAGTTCGTCTTAAGTAGTGTGTTCAGAATTAGTCCCATGGTTACTCATGAGACGCACATGAAGGAAATGTGCTGTGGGGCCTGATTTCAGCTATGTTCTCACGAGTGTGATGTACCACCTAGAACTGGTAAGACAAGAGGTGAGTTCTGGTCTTCTGCTACTTAACTACAGGGTCTGGGCTAACAGGAAGAGCTGCTCTAACCAGGCTGTGGGTAGGAAGGGAATGAGTCTTTGCACCTGTGTTGGAGAGCAGCTTGGTGGCTTCTAGGACCTTCTCTGTGTAGACTCCTGGCTCATAGTTGTCCATCTCTGAGGTGACAACATGAATGACCCGGGCTGCCCGGCCTCGGATTGCACCAGCTGTGCGGTCCAGCCCATCCACATCCTTCTCTTGTAGAGCGATGACACACTTATTCACATCTTCCAAAATGTGATTCTCTGAGGAACAAGCAAAGATCTGAGTGAAGGAGAAGGCTTTCAACTACAGGATGACCACTGCAACTTGGCATCTGTCAAGTATGCCAAGTACTACTGAGTATGCTTGGGATGAACCACAGGAGCTGGGCATGGTGACACACACCTGTAATCTAGGCACACAGGAGGCTGAAGCAGTAGGATAGTGAGTTTGAGGTCAATCTGGGCTACAAAGAGAGATCCTGCCTTTCCCCATAAAAGTATTATACTTATCATTTCACAGAAGACACCACATTGTTCCATAGAAGTTCAACCTGTGAGCACTTCCAAGTATACAATCTACATTTCATCAGATATGTCCAACTTTGAAACACTGTTATTTTGTAAATCAGGCAGAAACTTTCAATAACTCCCCTCCCTTTAAATAATTTCACTAGCCTTATGTCCCAAAGTCTAAATAAGAATAATAACAGTTCACTGTCACACTTTATCCATTCACTCTTCCCTTTCCCTCTACAAAATGCCACTGATATTTAGAGGCCAGCACAGGAATGGGAGAAAGTGCTAAAAAAGCAGGTTTAAGCCTTTTGTGGGGGCACTGAGGAAGCACACGTGAGGTGAAATATTTAGGAACCTTCTCGTGACATGTAAAATGGGCCTGTAATCCTTGCAGTGTCCACATAGGAAGAAACCTGTAAGTATCTCCTACTAGTCACACAGCTGGATTTAGAGGACATACTAAAACTCCTTCTCCTCAAAGCAAAAATGTGACACTGGTTTACAGGAATCCCAGAACAAGGGGTTTCCTTTCAAATCTCATGGGGAGTAAAGAGGAGTGCCCAGATGAATGATGGGTCCTATGTACCCATGAAGTTGCAGAGACAGAGCTTTATGGGCAGACTAGAATGGGAGGGAAGACAGGCTCTCAATGACCCAGAATTGCAAAGACCACCATGAAACAACCCAAATGATGAGGCTACAGTAGGTGGCACCATGAAGGAAAGTCACCTGACCATAGCCTTTCTGCTTGAAAAAGTTCTTTAAGATATCTAAGAACTCTTAGAAGTTCTGTCAGTTGAAGACATGCTCACTTCCTACAACCAAGTGTGCCTGGCTTAACAGGTGAAGACCAATGGTCCTAGTTCCTCATGACAAGTTCCACATGACAATGTCTATAAGGACAGTAACAACTTCACCTCTTAAGACACTCAAAACAAGAAACTGGTCATGGTACAATTTCCTCTCATCTCAAGGTGAACCAGAAGCAAGCAGTACTTAGCAGACCTAGCAAAGAACAGAACCACTGCAGTGCCAGGCTTTAGGACACAAGAAGCCGCCCCTCTCTATTTCCCAAGAGAGGGATTGTTTGTTCTGAAGACACAAGTATGATGGAATAAGATGGGAAAAAAACAACAACAAAAAAACAGTATTACATGCTTATAATCCCAGCACTCAGGATGTGGAGGCAGAAGGGTTGGGAGTGCAAGGCTAGTCTGAGCTACACAGTGAGATCTTGTCTCAAAAAAACATAGGCAGGGAGTGTGGCTCAATGTTACAGCACTTGCCTAACATGTGCAAGTACCTGGGTTTTAGACCCAACATGTGAGAGAGCCAGGGAGAGAAGGAAGGAAGAGGAGAAGGAAAGAGGAGAGGGAAGGAGGGGAGGGGATTATGTGAAAGAGTTGAAAAGAGATGTGGGAAGGGGGTTTAAGAAAAGTAATAGAAGTGGTGAGTTTGATCCAAATATCTTATGTGCATGTATAGAAATATTACAATGAACTTCTGTACAATTAATGTACATATACACACACACACACACACAAAAAAAGAAAAAAATCTTTCAAAGGGAAAGCCATTTTCGCAATACAATCTGGCCATATTTAGGCCTCTATTAATTCAAAAACTGTGAGACTTGCTAGGATTTACATCATTGTACTATCAAAACAAATTTTCTAAAATAACCAAATTTTAGGAGGAAATATCTGAGCCAACTGCAAGAATTAATGAGCCTGAAGCTTACCACAAAAGCACCTTCTAAATAGAAACTCTCTACATACTAATTTAAACTAAACAAACTGGTACAAAGCCTGCCCACCTTCCAAGGCTTGCTTCTACTGAACCTAACACAATACTGAGGTATAAGATGTATCTTTTATCACAAAGTAAAGATGCTAACAAAATTGTGAACCAATTTTTTTCTTTTATCTTTGATTTTAAGATTCACCCGTTTCAGAATTGTTAATACTTGGCAGGCAGGGGTCTTAGGATCAATGAAGTACAGCATTCTTTTGGGTTCATTAAACACAGTAACTCAAACCTTCATCTGGATACCTATGTTACTGGTTTTGCTCCAGTGACCCCCAAACCAGGGAAAGGTATGACATTCTTTAGCAACAAAAGTAACTTTCTATTTTAGGAAGCTACACGGGTAATATTATCTTCCCTCACTGAGCAGCTGTCTCTAGGAAAGCCCCAGCCTAGCTGAGATCACCAGACACCCACGACATAGGACCAAATCAGCTCTCTGTCCTTGAACCCCAGAGGGGAGTCTACTAGTCGTGTGCTAGTGTGGGAGGTGCAAGGATACTCATAGTAATCACCTATCACTTTAGCTTGAACTGAATTTCTAAGAAAACTCAGCATAGATCCATTTTGAGTAGACACACCATTTATAGTCTTTCTTTGTAGGAGTACTTCTAATAGGAAGAAAAAAAGTCACATAATAGTCTATAAAGCGTGCAGTTATATGTAGACACCAAGGGGATCCTAATATGGACACCTATCTTTGTTGACTGAAAACCTTTCTAGGTCTGTCCCTATAGAATTACCTCACTCATTCTAATGGTTACATAGAACTCTGTGGAATAGAGGGAGAGGCTGTTAATTCACTAATCCAGTCTCTGCCTAGACATTTTGGTTGAAGAAAACATTCTTATACACTTATTTTGGCAAACATTTGTGATATATCACTCAAAAATTTTTCTAGAAATGAGATTACTGCATTTAAAAAGTATGTAAGAGGGGTGGAGATATAGCTCAGTGGTAGAGTGCTTGCCTAGGATGTACCAGGCCCAACTACCACAAACAAAGCACGTATATGTTTAATATTTAAAGTAGCCACATGGTACCTAATTGTCCTCCAGGAACGATGCCAGCTGCAAGAACTCCAGTCCAAAATATGAAATAAAAGGGCCTGTCTTCATGTCCTTTGCCCTGGATAACTTTAAGTGAAGGCTATGTACAAGTACAAAAGTTTACTTTTGTGACATACTTTCTGTAGAGGACTTACTTAAAGCCAGGTACTACTGAGTGCTTGCTACTTAACTCTATACAGTAGACATTTTTAAAAATCACCACAAATCAATGAAGAAACTGGCATAGAAGTTCTGAGTGACTCACCCAAGCTCACATTTCTAGAGGGCATGGGAGTCAGGAACCACATCTTCTGACTTCACCAGTACCTGTATTGCTTCCTCCAAACAGAAACTCTGATCTACAGTTTTGCTTTTATGCTGCTAAACACAAAGCCAGATATTAAGTATGATAATCCTTTTGTACCAAAACAAGACCAAAATTTTTGGGAACACCGACATTTAAAGAAGGAAAGTAAAAATTACCTATCCATGTGTTGCCCTAAAGGGTTTTGAGACAGGGTCTTGCTATGCAGCCCAGGCTGGCTTTGAACTAGCGATCCTCCTGCCTTATCCTCCTAGAATTATAGAAGTGTACTATGGTGTCTGGTTTGCCCATAAGTATTTAATGCAATGTATTAGTATTTCCAAGAGTATTTAGTGAGAAATATAACAAACCCAACTAGAACCTCTAAGCAACCATTTGCATCTTAAAAAAAAAAAGAACCAAAACTTCAACATGTAAGCAGAGTAAATAAATAAGAAAGTATATTTCTATGTACATTTAAATGCAATTCAAATAGCCTTTATCACTTTGATAAATTTCAAACCATTGTCCTTTAGGATCAGTCAATATAAATGTATTCTTGGTTTGCTGAATGCTCTCTGGCATCCTAAACTATCTCTGAGAACAGACTGGGGAAGAGGAGACCCCACTCACTCTTACATGGGGTAGCATGCACATCCCTCTCTTTAAAAATCTTACCTTTAAATTATCACTGTTTTATCACATTAGATATGCACGAACTGCTGCTGCCCCCACCTCAAAATCCCTCCTGCCTTGCATATAAAATGCCAGCATTGGGATCTTAGTGCCTTCACCAGGTTAGACACAAGATCACCATTACTTTTAGAGCGACAAATTAGGACATGACTATCTAAGTATGAGGGAACTTTTGGAATCAATGGATAAAAAAAGCCAGAAACAGGGTGCTCAGTCCTATTCCATAAATAACCAGCTCTTGGATGGGGTCTCAGTGACTGGGTAGGGCTACTGCAAATATCCAATCCTCTTGGTATTCTAAGAGGAAATCTGATGGTAGAAAATCATTAGTGGAGCTATCTACAAAATCTCTCACACTAGCAAAGGGCCTCAAAGCTCCAGAATATAGGAGAAACAAAAGACTCCAAGAAGTCAAGCAGCATCCTTACTTTCAGCCAAAATCTATACAGTCCACTACCTTAAGTCAGACTCTGCCTTCAAGCCTGTATCACTACAGGATCACTGGAGCACCAGTGTACCTCAGGGTCAGAGTGACACAGGTCAGAGTGAGGCCAAGACATGGCTTCTGCCTTTGGCACCTGAGTGCTGCAGACAAACACCTTCTTAAGCCAGGTGTCCAGTGAGATAAAAGACATCTCCAGTCTACTCCACAAGTACTAAAGCTGCCACAGGTGAGGTAGGTACTTGAGGAGAAAAATGGAGGGGATGAACCATTTCAGGTTAAAATACATGGAAATGTCACAATGAAACTTCCTGTGTAGCTATCTTAAACAAAAATATCTTTTTTTTTTCCTTCCCACAACGGAGAACAGGAAGGTAAAACAGGTCCTCTGTGTGAGATGGGGAGAATATAAGGAAAGGGAGTGGGGAGGATATAAGGAGGGTGAATGTAATAGAAATACTATGTACTTATGTATGAAAATGGAAAAATGAGACCTGTGAAACCATTTCATTGGGGGGGGGGGTGAGAGAGAGAGAAAGGAGAATCAACTATGATATATTATTATAAGAATTTTCATAAATGTCACAATGCATCCCCAGTACAACAATAATATGATAATTAAAAAAATGAGTTATTTAAAAAAATGAAACAGGTGGGCACCAATGGCTCATGCCTGTAATCCTAGCTACTCAAGAGGCAGAGATCAGGAGGAACATGGTTTGAAGGCAGACAGGGCAAATAGGTCTCAAGACCCTGTCTTGGAAAACTTCATCACAAAAATAGGGCTGGTGGAGAGCACGCCAAAAAAAGAAAAAAGAAACAAACAAAACAGGAATCAGAGTGTTGGAAATTAATGGCATAATTTACTAGAACTGTGGCCAGACTTCTGCATGTTTCTTCCCTTCATCCCTAATAAGCAGAGAAATTATGAATAAAAGCCTTGTACTACTAATTAACTACTTGACACATTCCTCAGAAGACCTGTGACAGAACATCAGACAAACACACCAGGTAGACGTCTAAATTTCAGATGCTCTAAAAACAATAACACTTCCTTATAGAACAGTTCCATGTTTTCATTTGCTAAAAAGAAACTGTCTAAACTCCCTTCCATCAAGTTGACCCTCAAACTCTCACAAATTTGCATAAAAATTGAACACACTTGCCAAAGCATATCTTCTAAGAAATCTGATTTCTCTTTACTAGTCTTCTGTTTTATGCAATATACCCTAAAGATACTGCCTGGATCCCACCAAATGCTGCTGCATAATCCCTATTGTTCTCTGATTTGAAGAATACTGCATAGAGAGACATTTGATTCTATTACATTTTACTTTGCTCTGCAAGAACTGAAAATCTCTTGAGACCAAGCGTGAACCATACCCAACCTAATCTCTAAAAAGTAACTGTAGGAATGTGGTATGGGTGGGGGGTGGGGGGGAGGGAACGGACAGACTACATTTAGACTTCAGAATTTGTTGTTTGCTTAAAAGTGTGCTGTAAAGGTGGAATGTTTTTCTCTAAACCTATGAAAAAGAGTAATCCAATACTTCATTGGGAAAAACAACAGAAGGCCAAGATTTCCCAAAAAAGCCACTGCTGCATTTTTGGCACCTGCAAAAGATGTGCTTGCAAATGTGTTTTTTGTTTTAAAGTACCAGCATCTGCAATTTGGCAGTCCTGCAGCAACATGGTTTACCCTATCTTTTTGCAGTTTACAGACTATTTGCTCCCCACTTTCTCAAGTAAAGCCAAAGCGACCAATCCCAAAGGAAACCAAGCAAAGACAGGGAGACATTGGTATGCAGAACACACCATCACCCTTATATAGGTCACTACTGGAGGACCTATACTGTGCATGTACTTAAGCCCTGCTTCCCTTTCAAGCCCCATTGTCACTTACATCTCCCACATTGTAGGCTGCAGGTCCCTGGGGTGACAGGTAGTTTCAGCGCTATAATAACCCAACAACTGAATCTGCCTAGTCACTGGCATCAGAAAGCCTGGCACTTTAAGACAGGAGCCATGCAGCCAAGGGCAACAGAGGCCCAATTAAATGGAGAATGCATTTAATGTTACTCAACTCGAAGGAGATAGGACTGAAATTTATCTGTGTGATAAACACTGAATTACATTTGACAGACATTTTCTATATGAATGCAATTTACTATGTCATTACTAGTTTATGTTTACATAATGAAATCAACTGTTTTTGTGAGGTGAATTACCCAGATTTATTTTTTGCAAGTTCATAATTAAATGGCACTTAAATATTTCCTCTCTGTTTTCTATCTGTATATCATGCAGAGTGTTCAGAAAAGTAGGCAGCTAAACTGTGATCACTTCTGAGAGACAGTGGAGAGGCTTTCCAAGAAGGGGAAAAAACTATTTTCAGTAAGACTTAAAAGGAGGCATGACTTTAAGTGGCAGAGTACCTGCCCAGCAAGTACCTGAGTTCAAAACTCCAGTAACCTCTAAACAAAATTTCCACAAAGCAAAAGGTGCTGAGAAGTGCCTCTTCTCAGTTTCATAGGCTTCTAATAACTAACTAGTGTCCACCAAGACATGAGCCAACCATTTTCTAAACACGGCAGTAGCAACAGGGTGGATCGTTATGGTGCGATACAGGCCACAGCTGGAAGATCTCTCTCTACAAATACAGAGAAAGCCTTTGCCAGCTTTCTAATTCATGCTTCTAAGATGGAGACCAGTAAGGGGAAGTAGCTCAGGAGGCAGTAGCAGCATTTTTTTAAAAATTAAAATGAAAACCAGAATACTATTGCTAGAATAATTTGCCTGCCCGTACTTGGTGGTGCTTGATTGTCCACTATTGTAGTAATTATGTGTACTCCCACATGCTACTCTGAGTAATCAGTTCATTACCTGAAACAGCCAAGAAGTCATCAATGGAAGTAATGTCATCAACAGCATCCGTGAGAACACGGACTTGTTTCTCCCATTGTTCTTTAAAAAGATCCATGTTCTCTTGGGCCAGTTTACTCTGTGGTTTTGCTGCTAAAGCCAATGCAGCATTGATAACCTGCAAAAGATTATTAAAATTGTTTATTCTTTGTCAGAGTCATGCAAATAATACAGGCAGGAGAAAGTGTGGCAATGACTTCATCTTATATACATTTCACTAAGACACATGATACTATATGCTCCAGTGTAACTATTACAAACTGGTGAAATGGTAAATAGCAGTTCTTATATGCTAAAGCCAAAGCCAAAGCAGTAATTGTATTTGGAAACGACAATTACAAACCAAACATAAAGTTCTTCTAATCGCTCCACTCCATCATGGCATTTCTACAACTTCTCACAAGTTCCAAGCTTTTTCCTCCTTGTATCACACAAATGTAGCCACATCAAAAACTATACAACTAGAATTACATGGTAAATAAAAGTAACTATTCTGTTTCTTCGATTTTTTTTTCCTTTTTACCAAAGGTGTATTTGACATTAAAAAAAAAAAAACACAGATAAGTGAATAATCTGTTATGTTTTTAATTTTTTTTAGAGTTGGGGAATGTTAGCTCAGTGGAGAATGCTTGCCTAGCATGTGTGAGGCTCTATGGTCAATCCCCAGGACTATATGTGTGCATGTACACAAATTAAATGTCTTATTGAGATACAATTCATAAATCACACAATTCACCAATTTAGAGAACAAAATTTCATGATTTTTAGTACAGACACAGTTGTGTAACATTCACCACATTCAATTATTTTAGATCATTTTTATCACTCCAAAGAGAAGCCCCATATCCATTAGCAATCATTCCCAATTTCCATACATTCTCCTACTCCCATCTTCTATCAACCACTAACATAATTTCTGTCTATGGATTTGCCTATTTTGGACATTACATATAAATAGAATCAGATAATATGTACTTTAACATACTGCTTTGAAAGCATATCGTGTTAAATCATATCATCAGTACTTCATTATTTGTCCACTCATCAGTTAACATTTGAATTATCTCTATTCTTTGGCTGTTATGAATAATGCTGCATGAACATTTACATATATATGGCTGTGTTTTTATGTCTCTGGGAATGGAGTGAAATTGCTGGATCATTAGGTTAACTTTACTTTCGACCTCTTGAGAAAGTGTCTGAACTTTTTTCTAAAATGCTGCACCATTTTACATTTCCACTATTTTGCAGAAGAGTTCTAACTTCCAGCATCTCCAAAACTTGTTAATTCCTTTTTTAAAGTAAATCCTAGACATCCTAGTGAGTCTGAAGTGATCTTGTTTCTATTCCCCTGATAGCTACTAGGGTTAAGACATTATTTTTTCACATGATTACTGACCATTTGTTAATAATATTCTTTGGAGGTGTCTATTCAGACTCTTTCATGTACTCACTGAATAGAGTGAATAACTAGTATAAAAATGAACTGATAATAGATAGCAAGACTTCTAGGTACAAGGATGCTTATGAGTTATTGGAAATAAATATGTTTAAAATAATGCAGTTTGGAAAGGAAGCACAGACAAGAGGAAACTAGTAGGAAAGGACTGAGATATGGATGAGGAAGAAAAGTAGAAGCATGTGGACATGCAAACCTGAGACCAGTAGTTTGGGATGACTGCTGTAGAGGTGCTGCATACACCTTCAGATCAGGTGTTTAATTCTCATTTAATTGCTGGGGCATTCAAGAATATTATTAACTCAGCCCCTAAAGGCTGCAGAGGATAGCAGACTAAGAAGAATCATATCCCACCAAATTGGTGCACTCCTCTAGACACTCAACAGGCTAATATAACTGTCAGTTATAGGTTCACAGGCACAGAGAACTGACTGAACCATTTCAATTTATTACTTATTAAAGGCCCACCACTTTCAGAATTATCTGGGTTTGGACAATAACCTTTCCTGCCTTTCTCATATGTTATGCTGTGATCTTCCACATTTTCATCACTTAAGAATTATTCTTTGCCTCTGTTCCTTTTCTCACTGGGTATAGGTGTATTTACCATTGTGGATTACCACATACTTGTTAATTCACTAATGTATCAATGTATTGGAGTATCGCCAGATCTCATGAGAATATTTAGCAGAAGAAAATGTTTCCTAAGAGAGCAAAGTAAACATGGGCAGAGAATTAATGATACATTTTAAATACAGAGTATTTTCAATTACAAAGAAAAAAACTGCTCTTTGTTCTGTAATGTATCTTGTACTGTGATGGGGGACCCACCCCATCTAAATTTAACTTTCTCATTTTGCTTATAAAACTGTTTACCAAAAGATTCTTAGAATAAAGACTTGCTATATGGTTGAAGGTAGTATAAATATTATAAATCAGCAGCCTTTCTATATAATCAAAAAATAATATAAAATGAGAAGGGAGTGTTGGATCTTCGTAAGAGCACTTAATATGAAATTTGTGGGAATGAATCTAGAAAAGAAACCAACATGACCAAAGTAAAAGACACAGCTCAGCTTTCCTTGGGTGCATTAAACAAACTTGAACAAATGGAAACCCATCCCACAATCAGGGGTATAAAGACTGACAGATTTATTAACAAATTAATATGCAAATAAATTATTAACAATAGCCAAGAAAATCTTGGGGGCAAACAGCAGAAGTAATGTAGAGAAATGGTTAAAAATATAATAAACCTAACATGCTCAGAGTACTCTTAAAAACTGATCCTAACCTATGGCAGGTTTCTATAATAAAAGTATCATCACAAACTAGTGAGGAATTATACATTGACTTCACATATGAAGATCTATGTAGAGAAAAATAATGTTTTTCCTAACTTAATACTTTATTACCTACTTCATTTATGTACTAAGTCATCATTACTTTGTTTGGGGAGTGGGGTGGGGAGGGAATGGACAGTGCTGTGGCTTGAATTCAGGGCGTAACACTTGCTAGGCAGATGCTCCACCATTTGAGCCACTCTGCCAGCCCTTCTTTTATAGGTAAGATTATTTTCACATAGATGAATTAAAAATAACAAAGGTAAAAGAATGAAATTTGTTAACAAATATTAGAGCAAAAAGAGATATTGATGTATTAAAAAATACTTCTCTAAGCCAGGTGTGGTGGCTCATGCCTGTGATCCCAGCTAACAGGGAGATGGGACCAGCCAGGACAAAAAAAGTTAATGAAACCCCATCTCAGCCAATAAACTGGGCATGGTGGCATATGTGTGATTCCAGCTACACAGGCGGTATAAACAGGAGGATTGCCCACACAAGCAAAAATGTATGACCACATTTGAAAAATAACTCAAGCGAGAAGGGCTGAGGCATAGCTCATGTGGGTAGAGCTCCTGAGGTTATAGGGTTTTGAACTCGGGGCCATGCCTCTAGCCCTTGTTTACTTTAGTTCACTTTCAGAGAGGGTCTGGTGCTTTTTTGGTCCAAGGTTAGCTTTGGTCTGTGATTCTTTTATCTATGCTTCCCACCTAGCTGGGATTATAGGCCCAGGTTGTTTGTTGAGATGGGGTCTTGGTAACTCTTTTGCTCAGGCAGGCCTCAAACCACAATCCTCTCAATCTGTGCTTCCCGAGCAGGTGGTATTGCAGGTGTGCACTACCACGTCCACCTTTGGACAGCAATTTTTAAAATGCTATTGGCCAGAATTCCCAATATAATGTTACTTGGAAATGGTGAGGGTGGACATTCTTGTCTTTTATCTGATCATAAGAGGAAAGTATCCAATCTTTCACTATTAGGTATGATACCAGCTATTGATGTTTTCAAAGATATTCTTTAGTAGTCTGAGAATTCATTCCATTCCAAGTTGGCCATCATAGAGTAGAGATTAGAGGTATTTCCTGTTTCACAATTGTCCATAGTTTCTAAGCAAAATAAATATTACTTCTACTTCTCATCTTCTTTGTTATTCCACTAAGCAGTACTGGAGTGCTTCAAGGTGCATTCCTAGGCTACCTTCTCCTTTCTATACTCCTCCTGCCCTGAATGATTTCATCCATGCTTTGAAATGCCACCCATTTGCCAAGTAATACCACAGCTCCTACTTAGACCAGTCACTGCCACCCTAACTCATATCCAACTGCATATCCAGTTGCTCTACCTGTATATCTCAGATATTTCAACTGAGTATATCCAAAATAAAAATGATTTCCTGCATCCAACCATACTGAATGAGTTTCACTTTAAAATTCTTTCTTTTTTCTCAGTATTGGAGTTTGAACTCCAAGCCTCTTGCATGCTAGGAAGGTGCTTTACCACTTCAGCTATTCCTCTACTCCTCACTTTAAAATTCTTCAATATTCAACTTCGAGTGAACTCAAAGCTGGAGACAGCAAGAGAACAACATTACAGTCCCTTTCTCAAGGCAATTGCTTCATATCATCCTCTTAATTCTATTAACACCTCTGCCAGCATCCTTGGAGCATGAATTACATGGACCAGGGTAAACCAGATGCAGCTCACCAAAGAGTTTGAATTACCCCATCTCAAATATTTTTAAAACTTTAAATTAGTTACCAACTGTTTGAAACATCAGACTTGACAGAAAAATCTGAATTATTGCCATATTCTTCAAAATAACCAAGGTATCTGGCAAAAATGGCTGGAGTCACAGCTTCCTCTCTGAAAAGCAAATGGTCCATGTTGCCTGGTTTGGCATTACCAGACCTAAAAACACCTACTGTATTTGCACTGCAGAACCTGCCCATCCCTGCATACACAGCAGTTTGTAAGCAAGGGTGGAAACGAGCCTAGTAGGAATCTAGAGAATAATCACACCTGGAAAACACCTTTTTATCCAGTACCAAATGTGGTATGGGCACTCTCTGTGTAACTGAAGTTCATTTTAGTAGGAGACATGAAACTACAAAGGTGAAGAATGAGAATTTCCAAGGAAGAATTCAACCTGATACACAGAGCCATGTACACACAGTTCATGCACACCAGCATGAGCTTTAGGATCTACTAGACTCTCCATGTGATTTTTTGGGAGTTGACTTTAAGATTATTTATATAAATCATTTTGATAGGTGTGAACAGAGTATGTTACCATCTGTTTCTGCAGACACATGCAAGCACTGTAACTTTTCAAGAATTTCAAAAACCAAATGGAAAATCAAAGACATTAAAAATAAAGTATTGATAAGGTAAAATGGCAAACTTGAGGAAAGAATGGCCAATCTTTAGAATTCCACTAAGCTTTTATCACACAATTTGGTCATCCAGAAACTTTCTGATGTGTTGACTAAATCCATTGTTTTTATCCAGCAATCAGTCACTGGCAGATTTCATGACTGATTAAAGCTAGGGAAATGTCCATCAGATGATAGGGATTCATCATTCAAACTGGCCCATCACACCAATATTAAGACATAGAAATTTACCAGCAAACTAACCTAAGAATGAGGGAATGTTTATGAAACAGCCAAAGTAATGGTGTAGCAGTGTATCTTGAGACTGGTTGCAGACAAAACACAGAAACTTCATTCCTGTGATCTCTATTCTGTTACTCCAGTTCTTCTACTTACTTCTACTTACTTCCCTGCCACTGCCATCTGGCAGGATATACAAAGAGAGATATAAGTATACCACGAGCTTTCTGAACCTAGAAAAGTGGAAAGACATTCTCTTCCACTGAAAGACCATGTCCACTTCGGATGAATCTACAAGTGGCAGGGAGAGCTCCCTCATAAAGAGGCAGGCATTCCTTGTATGTACTTCAGTCTTTCTAGAATGCCATGTGCTTAACTAGCCTGATCACTTGTCTTCAATCATCTATTTAAATGGAGAAAAGTTCTTGAGTTTTTACTTTAGTAGCTGGTTGAATTAAGTTACTAATATCTGTATCATACGACTTCTTTAAGACAATTTAGCTAAGGATACCAGCTCTTGAATGTGGTTCCCTTCAACAAAGACCCAAATGCTAGTCACTAAGAGCAGTGAAAGTAGACAGTTGTTAAGAGTTTCAGGATGTGGGGGAATAACCATGATTCCATAATGCCAGATGTTGCAGGTGCCCATCTTGCAGGAAGGTACAGACTGAGCAGTGTGGTCACTGCTGCCCTTCATTTTCCAGCAACGGAGGATAAAATGTCTCTTTTTGTCATACCCCCGCCCTGATCCCCCAGACTAGGGTTTGAATCCAGGGCTTCACACTTGCTAGGCAGGCACTCTACTTCCCCAGTCCTTTTCTGGGTTGGTTATTTTCAAGATAGGGTCTCATGAACTATTTGTCCAGGCTGGCTTCGAACTGTGATTCTCCTGATGTCTGCCCCCTAAGTAAACAGGATTATAGGCGTGAGCCACTAGTGCCTGGCAATGATGCCAAGAAGAAATGACTAAAACTTTTCCAAACTATGTGGACTCTGAGCCAATGATTTGTCTCTAAGACTTATACTTAAAATCCTTTAAAAAACCACCAAACTTAATGCTCATGTCCATTCTACAAAAAACCAATTTGGTGATACCATCAACTTGCCAGCTGTACTTTACCTGAGGACAGAGGGCTTCTAATTGGCTTGCAGACATGCGAACAAGCTTTACACCTTCTTCGTTGTTTGAAATGGAACAGGCCAAGTTGGCAACCTATAAAAGGAACATAAAAAGGTCTGAGAATTTTTCTCTTTTTCACAGCTAAGGAAAACAGACATATACCTATCCTTATCCTTGACCTTTCTAGAACAGATGGCAAAAGCACCTCGGAGGCTTTACTTCTCACAGACTGATTATTTCCTTATGAAGACAGATTTTTAAACTGTCCTACACAAACTACAAGGATGCATAACACACATCATATATAGGTTGGTGGCAGTACCCATAACACACGCTTTACAGGGGCATCTAACCTGCCTGAAGAGTAACTTCAGAAAGAGACTTGCTGGTTTAGGCAATAATGTAAGAAGAGCTTAGGAAAGAACTGTCAGTATACACAAGTAAAAATGTATTTTGTAGCTGCTCTTAAAGAAAGAAAATCAAAATTCTAAGTTGCTATTCTCAATTGACAAGTATATGCAAATGCTTGGTTTAAGCCAAGATGAGTTTTATTTGAATGCAAGTCAATTTTTCAAATAAAAAAAATAGCATGAAAACATCATCAAGATGTATCAAAGGCCATCCTTATCAAAAATGGAAAAGAAAGGGCCAGGCATGGTAGAGCATGTCTGTAATCCCAGCTACTCAGGAGGTGGGGATAGGAGAATTACAGTTCAAGTCCAGCCCAGTCAAAGTTCACTAAGCCCCTATATCAAAACAAACTAAGAGCCAAAGGACTGGGAGCATGGCTCAAGTGCCTAGCAAGTAAAAGATCCTGAGTTCAATATCCAGTACAAAAAAAGAAAAGGAAAAGGAAACAAGGATAATATACCACAGACAAGAGTAAAAGTGTCTTTCAAGTGGGTTGTCAAAATACACAAGCAGTTTCTGGCTGAAGTGCTTAACCACCATCTAAACCATCTCAGTCATTTCAACAGCATAGCTTATGTAGCCAGAAATGATGTTTCCAAGTTGTGCACTTGCTTTGCTAAAGCTCTATCCGTGTTGAGAATGCTGCTCTACAGCGACTGCTAAGGCAGTGATCACTTATCCATGTTTCTAAATGAACAAGCCTGCCGATTCCATTAGCAATGCTATGGCCAAAAAGCATACACAGTGCTGAGACACATCTTTACCTCAGGTGCAAAATGAGTTATGAATGATAAAGGCATAGGAATATCAGAGGCATTTCCCAGAATCTAAATGCCAGAGTAAACAAGGGCAATGGCAATAACATTTGATTTTCACTCCTCCACCTAACTTAAACACATAAGTGCATAAGAAAAATTATACACTATTATGGCTGTTGTTTGCAATGTTACAGTTAGGGATTATCAGCAATGCCTGTAACAAGGAGAAACAAAAGAAGTAACATACAGTTTAAACATAAAAGTGAAAAGAAATTTGAAAATCAAATCTGTAATGTTTCTGAGGCCTCTAAAAATCACAAAAAGTATAACATTTACAACTCCCAGAAGCTTGCAAGTCTACCTGTCAACTGTCTAGTAGATCTGAGCAAGGAGGCATTTCTCTTAAGGATAACAATCTATTAGATGATTGTAAATTTCTGTTTAAAAATCATTCCAAATTTTCAAAGTTAAATTTTTTTAAACTTAAAAAAACCACCAAAATGTGTATTTTATATAGGCATGATAGTACATAACTATAATCTGAGTACTTGGAGTTAAAGGCAAGAGGACTGTGAGTTCAAGTCCAGTCTGGACTACATAGAGAGATCGTGTCTCAAACAAACACAAAACAAAAAGGCATTCTGGAAAAACACTGTAAGTTTGATGTTGATTGCATAATTAGCAGTTTTGGCTTAACAGAGCACCCTGGTGAGGTAAGTATAGGAATGCCCAACTGTGCTGCCCACTCCTCTCTTTCAGGAGGCAAGGTGGATGGTACTGTTAGGACACGAGTGACTGATTCTGCCTCACACCCTCTAGTCACTACTCACACAGTTTTATTTGAACTTACATTATTGCAACTTTGTCACTCCTTTAAATTTGCAAACAAAATTAAGAAGCGAAGGTTTATATAAGGATTTTTTGCAACTGATTTTACATTACAGTAGTGTGTGGTTAAAGCTAAAATGGCTGATTCTTTATGCCATTTCTATTTCCTGATACAAATCCTAACAAAACAAAGGCTATAGAAGACTTGTTCTTAATTTCCAAATAGTACTTAAAAATGTTTCTAATGCACTGCTAGACCATTACTAAAGCAGTAATGCTCTAGTTGAGTACACTGCCCATTTCAGAAGGAAGCAGCACCTGCAATGTCAAGTCTTCTCCAGATGAATGAGCTTCAATTCGCCCTTCAGCAATAGGGTTACTCATTTCTAACATTCATCATCTCAACCACAGATCTCTGAGAGGCTAACCTTATATACTAGCTAGTGCCAGGCCTGGCTATAGTTAAAGGAAGCTGTGAGGAGATGGGGCTTTGTGAATGCTTCTTTCTGTGGAAATGTGGTGCTCTAGAAATCTGGGGTAGCATTAAATACTGAGACTAAAGAGAGTCTGAGCCAGGTGTGGTGGCGGTACAACTATAATCCCACATTTGGGAGGCTGAGGGAGTAGGATTGAGAATTTAAGGCAATCTGGGCTACATAGTGAGTCCTTGTCTCAAAAAATAAAAAGAAAATCCCCAAGAGTATCTGAAGTCTAAATTCAAAACATTTACAGCACTTAACTTCCCCAGAGAACCTGGCAGAGTTGAGACTTTGTTAAACAACGGGCAGTATTTCAAGGTTTGCTCTAAGAATAATCTATCATTGTATCTTTGCTACCACAGTTCCCTGTGTATTAGTAACTTAAATATCTCTGATTACTGTTCAACTAAGAGGTGGGTTATGGGCCACTAGCTAGTTATGGACCACTAGCTTTGAGATCAAAGAGTCCTCTTTGCTAGCTTCTGCCTCTCCTCTGTCAGTACAGAAGAGCAGGTTTCACAAACCTTGAAAACCCCTGATAAAACAAAATCAGCTTTGAGTTTTGCCCAGAGTAGCACAGTAACAATCTGTGCTATTGAGGAAAAGACTGCCAAAGCCAGGTTGTTTCAGATCAACCAATAATGACATCTGTACAAAACAGAAACAAGAACTTTTCAGTCATTTAGGAATACTCTACATTTATTCCACAATTATCTTTACTTAAAACTTGTTATATGAAGTTTTATGTTCAAAAAATACCCTATATGACTATTTCCCTCTACTCTGGCCTTCTAATATGTTATATCATATCTATGGTCCAAAACATGTTTTAGGTTTAATACCCCTAAGCAATTGGCAAAGACAAATATAAATGGAAATATTCTCTGTCTGAAAGGTAACTAAACGTAAATCTCCACATACAAAATGCCAGGAATGTGAACCCACAATTAAAAAAAAAAACACATAAAACACACAAGGAAATAAGCCATCTTGGGCAAGAATAAGCAAAACCACCATGTATGTAATCAGATCCATAACAAATGCGGATACTCATTTGATCAAAAGTCAAATATATGTCTCATGTTAACAAAAGGAGTACTGATAAAGAAAAAGATACCCAAAAATTAGTATGGAGATTTCAAAAGGTCAAAATAGAACTTCAATAAAAAGTAGTAACTTCTAACACCATTAGCAATATAAAATGTTGATTAAATACTGCTAAAAAGAGAATTAGTAACCTCAAAAGTCAAACTGAAGAAATTATTAAAAAAAAAAAACTAAAAAAAAACTGTGATACAGAAAATAAAGATATTAAAACATGTGAGATAGAATGAGACGGTCTATTATTTCACTCAGTATTAAAAGGGAAGAGAATATAGTGGGAGACACAATACTGAAACAGAAAATGGCTACAAATCTTTGAGAGAGGATGAAATATAATTTTCAGACTTGGAAAGTCAAACAACTTCTGAACAGGTGGGTAAAAGTCCAGCATTAGGAAGTAATAGCTTGAGCTAAAGCTGATCTGCAAATTCCAAAAGAAATCCATACTTTGCTACAGTGAAGCTTTAAAAAAAAAAAGATTTTTCAAGAACAGAAAGAAAACACAAACTATCTATAAAGACACAGCCAGCAATGGAAACCACAGGCAAGGAAGTAATTATCTTCAAATCACTAAAAACTTCAAATTACTAGAACTTACATATCCAATGAACTTTATATTCCCAAGAATTAGGGCAAAATAAGGATACGAAGACAAGAGAGAAATAAACATAAGGCCACTGACTCTCTACAGGTCTTCCTCCACTACTAAAGAAGTCCCTAAAGAACATATTCAGGAAGAAAGTAACTGATCCCAGAGAAAGGTTTAATATGCAAGAAGAAAATGGGAAGACAAAAAAAAAAAAAAGTATCTGGTGAATAAATTTAAGCAAAGGCTGAAAAAAATGAATCAACAGTGTTAAATCATGAAGCTAAAAATTAGAGATCCAAAACAATGTACAACAATATTTAAGTTGGACATCAAATAAAGTAAAAGCAATCTAAGATTCTTATATTGTTTCAGAAGAAGAAAAGATACTGATTAATCCAACGTGGAAGTTAAACATCCATGTTAAAATATTCAGCTTCTACCAATAGATTGTTTGGGTGTGACATCCCAAACAATAAAAAAGGAAAAAACATGAGAGATGGAGAATTCAATCAATCCAACAGAAATACAGAATGAGAGTTGGAATATGGGGGTTAGGAAATTAAAATGCAGTGGTAAAAAAATGAATCCGTATGTCAGCAGTATTAATGAAAAACCCTAACGTCCTCATTTCTCCCAATTCTGTCCAGGAAGGCTGAAAGCCACATGCTGGGTTAGGCCCTCACCAGATCATAGCTGGCTAGGTATAACAATTGAATATTAAGACCTTGCCTGTATAGGGTACTTATAAGTAAACAAACAAAATCCCACTGGCCTGTATTTATTATTAAAATGTTGAGGATTCTATGTATTCTATCCTTCAATGTCCCTTGTATAATAAAGAAGCCCAGTTGTAAGGATTCTTTTTCATTTATTCTTAGGATAGGTTTATTTCCAAGGAAAAAAGAATCATTTTTTCTTCATCCT